ATATAGGACCCCAACTAGCTACAATCAAAAAAAATCTACACCTAGACATATAATAATCAAGATCCCAGAAACCCAACAGAAGAACAAAATACTACAAGCAGTAAGAGAAAAGAAACAAATCACATACAAAGGAAAGCCCATCAGAATCACAGCAGACTTTTCAACACAAACCCTTGGGGCAAGGAGAGCCTGGAATGAGATATTTCAAGTACTAAAAGAGAACAACCTCCAACCTAGACTGATGTATCCAGCAAAACTCTCTTTCAAAATGGATGGGGAAATAAGACACTTCCACGACAAAGAACACCTGAGAAACTACATGAATACCAAACCAGCACTACAAGCAATTCTAAACAAGATCCTAGAAAAAGACAATGAAGGCAACAACACCATGAGGCCCAACAGAGCAAATCAAAAAGGCAAGGCAAGAAATTAAAAGGAGAAGGTGAAAAAGTAAAAAGAGTCAACAAAATGCCAATAACATGTCAATAATAAGTCAGTACGTATCAGTTGTAACCAGCAATGTCAATGGCCTCAACTCACCAATCAAGATAAGCAGACTGGCAAAATGGAATAAGAAGCAAAATCCAATAATATGTTGTATACAAGAAACAAACCTAGTGCAAAAAGAAGCCCATAGACTGAAAGTGAAAAGATAGAAAACAATTCTCCATGTGACAGGAGCCCAGGAAAAAACAGGGGTAACAATCTTATTTGCAGACAAAGTAAATTTCATACCAAAACTGATTCTAGTGTTATCAATGTAGGACGGTACTGTATTATACCTCTATGAATGTAAAATATCTAGTACCTGCTTTATGATACATAGTAGGGACTGTGCTTTATCAGAGCTACATTTAATGATATTATTCTAGAATGTTCTCTTTCCAGATAATGATTAAGATGCTAATAAAATAAAAATGGTCTCAGGCACCATAGCAGCAACAGAACTTTGCTGTTTTCTGCATATTATTCTTTTCTTTGTTTTTTTGTTTTGTTTTGTTTTTAATGGAATGTACTGAATGTCTATAATTTTGTTCAGATGACTGCAGAACCTGGAAAAGCTGTTGCTGCTATCGATGTATAACATACTATTATTAGTCTTTTTATATAAATATAAATATATATATATACATATGTATAAATTGAATTTTGGGAAACTTTAATGGTGCTGCCAATTTTGGAAAAAGTCATCCCAATTTACTGTGTTGAGTTGGCATTGTACAGAAATGGACAGCCATATTGGTCTAGAAATGTTAATTTATTTTTATTTTTATTTTTTTTCATGTGTACAAGGGTAACACATCATACTAAATATGTAAGGTCATATCTACATGGGTGTGATTACAGAAACTAATAAAGTATTCTCTAATGAAAAAAAGAATAAGTAAGACTATAAGAGCAAGAAGCAATTTAAATATGTTTGGGGACCATTTTCATCTCCAGAATTAAGGATTATTTTAATGTTACATCATTGCCTTTTCTCTTTTACTTTTCTTTTTAGTTTTATTTTAGGGTTCCCTATTTTTAATGTTCATACAGAGATTTCTTTAACTGAAATACTGAATAGTTTCTCTGGTGTGAAAAACTACAATAGTACACAGGATCCTAATGAGATAATTAATAATGTGAAATAGGAAGTAAAGGGCTAAAAGTGCAGGGAAAGTGGGAAGGGTGGGGGAAAGGTAATAAAGGAGAGGAAAAAAATATGAGAAATTGAAAAAATGGAAATAAAGTGTTTGTAAATGGGGAGGGGAGGGAGGGGATGAAGGGAGGGCAGGGACAAGGGGAAAAAATGAGAATCAAGACCTATTATGTAAAGGTACAGAATCCCAATGATGAATGTAACTGTATTGTATAGCTAGATTGTACCAATAAACTCAATAAAAAAAAAACAAAAAAACTAGCCGGGTGTGGTGGCGCACGCTTGTAATCCCAGCACTCGGGAGGCTGAGGCAGGAGGATCACTGTAAGTTCGAGACCAGCCTGGGCTACATAGTGAGTTCCAGGTCAGTCTCAACTACATAGTGAGACCCTGTCTCAAAAAACAAAACAAAACAAAAAAACCAAAACAAACAAACAAAAAAAACCAAAATTGTGGCTTGGTTTTGGTAAGTTATAGCTAGAGCTAGGACCAAGACATGCTAAGTTCAACAGACTAGATGGTTGACAGTTATGTCTTAGTATAAGAAGGCAATTTCTACTTACTAAGATAGTATGTGAAAATGAATGTACTTAAATGTTCTGAATTATTTGTTCATCCTTGGTCCCTTTTCAATTAAATCAGTATTTAGTTAATACCAACTACAGTCAAGTTGCTGTTTTCATCTCCTTTGTGCTGTTACAAACTTGTATTTTATTTTGATTTTAAAATTATTTTTAAAAAATTGATAAAGCATGTGTATTGTACACAAAATTGTACCATGAAAATGATTATTTTTCCTTATATGCCAGCCACCTGACCCCTTCAGTTTCCCATTCCTTCCCAAGTTTGGTACTGGCTTCTTATACACTGTCTCTGAGATGATCCACTTACGCGACAGTCTCTCATTTCACGCAGGAACATACTGTGATGGATCCCTTCTGGTGGCCCTCTCAACAATCTGTGCCTCATTGTGTTCATGCCTTGTGTAATTGTTTTCCAAACTGACCACTTGACCATGGGCCTGCCTCTGACCAGTGGGACTTTGGAGAACTGCTGGCCTGTTGAGCCTTGTTCTCTGGAAATGCTTGTTGTTGTGGCAGTCCCTTGCAGAACCTGAGATCTCCATCTAGTTGTACGGAAAAGCTACATGGAAGAAGAAAGAGGTACTACGTACAGCCTCCACTCAGCCTCCCTCTGGGAGCTAGCATCAGTTTGACAGCCATGTGGTAAAGGATCTATCTTCTGCAAGGTGGACCCTCCTGTCTTTACGGGCTGCCCTAGATAATGCCATGTGGAGCAGAGATGATCTTTCCCTGCTAAGCCTTGTCCAAATTGAAAAACTGAGCAGTCCTTAAAAGCCACTAAACTCAATTAGTCACATAGAAACAGATAACTGAAATATATACTATATACTGTATATTCTGTGCCTTGCTTTTTTCACTGAACAGTGTATTAGATAGCAGTCTATTTCAGAATGTACAGTGCTGTCTTATTCAGTTTAAGATCTGGGTAGTATTCCATTGTACAATAAGTTAATTAACTAGATTTACTGATAGAAATTTGTTGTTTCCAATCTTTTGTGGCATTTAATGTCTGTGCTCTATACTTCTTCATGCTCACATATGTACATTTATTGGTAAAATTCTTAGAAGTAGAAGCTGGGTTCAACTGTGAATTGTTATTTTCCAAGGTATAACATTGTCCTCTAGAAGGGCTCCACTCCCATCAGGCACTTCGTTTGTTTGTTTGTTTGGTGCCGGGGATCAAACTTGGGGCTTAGCACTTGCGAAGCAGGGAGCAGAACCACTGAGCTAAATCCCTGGCCCCCATGGCACTTCTTTTTTGATGAACCTTCTTCCTTTTTCTGTTAGCCTTCTTCATATGACTAGGTGGAGATCTGACAGCTGGTGGCTCCTAGGGTCTGCAAGAAAGTGCCATAATAACAATATGTACTAGCACTTAATGTATGCTATCTGAAGAAAATCTCCCATTAGCTTATTTATCTTTATCAATTATATCAGTCTTCTATTTTATAACTTTCAGATATCTTATTTTTGTTTTGTTTGTCATTTTGGGTCTTTCTCACTCAGAGATTAGTGTAGACATTCTCCTATGTTTTCTTCTAGTATTCTTTTTTTTGGTACCTGGGATCGAACTTGAGTCCTTGCACTTGCAAGGCAGGCAGCGGAACCACTGAGCTAAATCCCTGGCCCTGTTCTAGTATTCTTATTATTTCATTTTTTTATATTTTTACTTTTGTTCTGTTCAAAATATCTTGATGTATAGGTTCCAAATTTTTATTTTTCCAAATATGTTTCTGAGGTGGCCAGTAAGTTGTTAATATTAATCATTCCACATTAATATTATGTCCATGTTATCTTTACTGTGTGTATGTTAGAAATCTCAGTATATTTATTGAATTCAAGAAACTCATTTGAATTGCTGCCCCATAGATTATTTATTTATTTATTTTTGATTTGTTTGTTTATGTATTTATTTATTGATTATTTGAGACAGGGTCTCACTATGTAGTTGAGAGTGACCTGGAAAAAAAAATTTTTTTTTTGTTTTTTTGAGACAGGGTCTCACTATGCCCATAGATTATTTAATTGCTCCTTTTTTCTCTGCTGTGATAAGAAATGTTATACTGAATATTTTAAAAAATAACTCTATAATTAATAATCCCAACCTTGCTTAGGGTTTTCCTGGTAGAGCTATAAATGAGTATTTATAGTTTCCATTTTAAAAGTTATTTAAACTTTTTTTCTTGTTAAGCTGCTCAAAAGCCAGAGTTGGAAAGATCATTTTATGTGCAAGAATATGGATAAGATCAATCCACGTAACTGAGATTTATCTGATGATAAAAGAATAGAAAGAAACATGCTTTTGTATCATGTGGTTTATATAAAGCCCTGTTCCTGTGTGTCTGAAGCAGGTAACGGTAGTGGCATGGCGTCTTTCTGGTGCACTGTGCATCATTGTCTGCCTCTGTCTTAAGCTGGCCCTGCTATGTTCAGTGCATAAAGCCACACTGTGTGTGTTCTCCTTTTGTCCTTCAAAAACCTCTCCTATCTACTGGAGAGAAACACATTTCACTAAGGTAGTCAGACTTCTAGTTTCAGAATCGCAGAATGTCAGAGCCAAGAGGAACCCCCCATGGCCTATGCATTTTTTAAATGAGGTTTTTAATTTTCTCGTTCTATACAGTATTTTAATGTTCTTGCACTCTCAGGTTATTTCGACACCAGTGGTGGTGTTTTCCATGTTCTTAGTGGCAGGCATGTGAGGATATGTTGTCGAAAATACCTAGTTTAAGGGTAAAAAAATGTTATTTCTTTCTTTCCTTCTTTTTTAGATCTTATCTAAGCTTTCTTTGCCTGCTCACTCTTGGAAACGAGCAATGAAGCAGAGTTTTGCCTTTGACAATGTCGGCTATGAAGGGGGTGCGGACAACATGTGCTCTTCTCCGATGATAACCAGCACCATTGGCATTTTGGGCATGACTTGCCAGTCTTGTGTCAAGTCCATCGAGGGCAGGCTTTCTAGTTTGAAGGGCATCGTGAGCATTAAAGTTTCCTTAGAACAAGGCAATGCAACTGTGAAATATTTGCCATCAGTCATTAGCCTGCAACAAGTTTGCCACCAAATTGGGGACATGGGCTTTGAGGCCACCATGGCAGAGGGAAGAGCTTCCTCCTGGCCTTCCAGGTCTTTACCAGCCCAAGAGGCAATAGTCAAGCTGCGGGTGGAAGGCATGACCTGCCAGTCTTGTGCCAGCTCCATTGAAGGCAAGATGCGGAAACTACATGGAGTAGTGAGAATCAAAGTTTCACTCAGCAACCAAGAGGCAGTTATCACTTACCAGCCTTACCTTATTCAACCCGAAGACCTCAGGGACCATGTCAACGACATGGGGTTTGAAGCTGCCATCAAGAACAAAGTGGCTCCCTTAAGTCTGGGACCAATTGATATCGGCCGGTTACAGAGTGCTAGCCCAAAGAGACCATCAGCTTTTGCTAACCAGAATCTCAACAACTCTGAGACCCTGGGGCACCAAGGAAGCCGCATGGCCACCCTGGAACTGGGAATAGATGGAATGCACTGTCAGTCTTGTGTCTTGAATATTGAAGGAAATATAGGCCAGCTCCCGGGGGTTCAACGTATTCAAGTATCCTTGGAGAACAAAACTGCCCAAGTACAGTATGATCCTTCTTGTGTCACACCTGTGTCCCTACAGAGAGCCATTGAGGCACTTCCACCTGGGAACTTCAAAGTTTCTCTTCCTGACGGAGCAGGAGGGAGTGGAGCAGGGGACAGATCTCTCAGTTATCATTCCCTGGGCTCTCCTGAGAGAAGCCTGGTGCAGGACCCGTGCAGCTCTGTAGTGCTGAGTGTCACTGGCATGACCTGTGCGTCCTGTGTGCAGTCCATCGAAGGCGTGCTCGCCCAGAGAGAAGGGGTACAGAGAATCTCTGTCTCTTTGGCTGAAGGAACTGCAACAGTTCTTTATGATCCCTCTGTAATTAGGCCTGAAGAACTCCGAGCTGCTGTAGAAGATATGGGATTTGAGGCGTCATTGATTCCTGGTATGTATTTGATACATGTTCGAAGCATGTCCCAGGTCATGTCTTGGTGTCTTACAACAGAGTACCTGAGTGGTTGGATACATGAGCTCTGCTCCCTGCCTCACATGTTCACAGTTAACAACATTCTATAACCTTTCGTCACTTGTGAAAATTATCAGGACAGAGGAATGGAATTTACAAGAATTGACTCTCATGTACCTGGCACTTAAGTGCTCAACTCTTTGAGTTTGGGCCTCTTTTCTGAAGAGAATTCTGACCCTATGAATGATTGCTGCGACCAAAGGAACTGTTACTATTAAGCTGTAGAGGAACTTGGAGGGAGCCAAACAAGACAGAAGGCTGGTTCTGGGCTCAGGAAGTCAGGAGGGTAGAGGTTGGAGCTAGCAAGAGCAGATTCACAACCCCTGTGTGATGGGGGCTGGCTCTGGAAGAGGCCAAGCCTGGCGTAACCCCTCCCAGATGCTAGAGGACCTTGTGGGCTGGAGATGGAGATATTAGTATAGGAGCCCAGGTAAGGCAGAGATCCCAGAAGGGAAGGAAGCTGGGGGAGGGTGGAGCACACAGGAGCAAGAACCTCCCAGACAGCCGCTGGAGGAGAGGGTGGCCTCATGCAGGTAATTTGAGGTGCACATAGGTGAAGGTGTAAAGGGTCTGTCAGGGTTAGCTGAGGAAATTGGAGGCCTCAGCAGCTGCTTTAGGACATGGGGAAGGTGGGAGCTTAGCCTGCACCATGGTGAGGGCAAGGAAACCTCTAGTAGTTTAAGTCAAGGAAGGGTAGAGAAGGACTAAGAAAGGGAAAGGTAGAAATGTTCCAGAGACAGGCTAAAGATAAGGAGAGAAGAGAATGTTTTGAGATGAGGTCTTGCTGTAGTATCCAGGCTGGTCTGAAACTCTTAGACTCACATAACCCTCTGCCTCAGCCGCCTGAGTGGCTGGGAATACTGAGACAGAAGTACTTGCAGGCACATTTGGTGAGGGGCAGCTCTATGTGTGGTAATGTTTTATCCATTTAGAATCCCAATACAGCCTTGTGTGTCTTGTGAATCTGCAGAATAAACTAGAAGGTGGTGGCCGCAGAGCCTGAGGCTGGAGTCACTGCTGTAGGTTGGAGGCATCCAGCTCAGAAAGAGGTGCTTGTGGTGCCCATGGTCCAAGCCCCGGGCAGCACCCAGGGCTAAGGAGTTGGTTTCCTACTCTGTCTCCTCAGACCACCAAGATAAGAGTTTGTGTCCTTGAAGTTTGTTGTATTGTGATACTTTCCTAGGTCCCTTTACATACCACACCCACCACTGAAGGGACTAAATCATGAGTGGCTTGGCCACATTCTTTTTCCTTTGGACCAAGTTTTAGGAAGGACCACTCCGTGAAAGGAATAAAAACAAAAGTCAATATAAAAACAGAATAGAACAGTAAATCCTTTACTCAGAAGGTGAGAAATATAGTTTGTGGTCACCATCTGCTGTTTTTATTAGGTTGAAGTCTTTAAAAGTACAGTTGGGAAGCCGGGTGTGGTTGCGCACACCTTTAATCCCAGCACTGGGGAGGCTGAGGCAGGAGGATCGCTGTGAGTTCCAGACCAGCCTGGGCTACATAGTGAGTTCCAGGTCAGTCTCAACTATATAGTAAGACCCTGTCTCAACCCCCCCCAAAAAGTACAGTTAGGTTATTGGCAATAAAAGAAATAAGGATTTAACTATATGAGCATTAAATATATATACTTACACTAAAAAATTAAGTATACTTATATACACTAGCAACTTATTTGTGTTTACCTGAAATTAAAATTTAATTGGACATTCCTGTATTTTAGCTGGCAAATTTAATCAAGGACAAACCGTTATTATGCTGGTGAGAAGCATTTATAGCCACTTAAATGGTAAAATATATTAGTTATATTTGATACATCCCTAGGGATTGATTAGGAGTTCCTGGGGGGTAGTGTTCCGATCTGTGTGACTTGTGTTTCCTTGGACTCACGAGAGCCCAGCATATCATAGGCATTTGGGAAGGAAAGGAGAGAAATGGGCCGTGACAAGCATGGGGCAGCTCTGTGGAGTGATTTACTTCAGGGAACTAATCACAGAGGTGCTAAAGAGCTGGAAGCCAACTGGGCCACTGGGGTTGGGGGAGATGAACCTCAGAGGAGAGGGCATCAGGGAAGGGGCTGCGACTGACAGCCACACTCCTCCAGGGAGGGGATGTCGTATAAGCCACATAAGCAAAGCATCGCAGTGAGATTCATTCAGAAAAAAAAAAACTTAAAGTCATGGGCTACTACATAGGTCACTGCCAGTCTTTCTGTCTTCTGCAGCTTCAGCTTTAGAAAATGACAGTCCTTCATTAAATGATATAGTTAGCTTTTCTACATGCTTTTAAAGGTACGTACTTTGAGTTTATCAAAACTGTGGGTTTCTGGAGCAGTGAAAATATCCTGTATATTGACCTTAATGCTAGTGTGTATTTATGCAGTAGGCAGAATGAGGGCCCCAAGTATTTACAGCTTAATTCCTGGAACCTGTGAATAAATCACCTTACCTAGCAAAAGGGACTTTACACAGGGACTGCTCAAAAAATACAGTGTAAATGTTTAAATTTTTAAAAAGTATTGCCGTAAAAGACACATTGCCATTAACCTCCCTCATCTTGACCACTCTTGCACTGTTCTTGCCACTTCTTAGAGCAGTTCTAGAAGTTCTCCTTCATGTCTTTATGAGGGATAGGAAATACAATGAATGCTGCTGCCAAATGCCTTCCAGTAATCATTGTGGCATGTCCTCACCACTTATTCACTGGATCTGACACCATGAGACATCTGGATCTTCCCCAGAGTTAAAATCACCATGAAAGGTAAATGTTTCAAATCAGTGCAGGATATTGAGGAGGCCACGACTAAAGACACTCATGAAGGACTTCCAGAGCTGCCTCAGAAATGTCAAGAACGTGGGATAAGTGTGTCCTGAGCAAGGGGGCAGTATTCTGATGGGGTTAGCAGCAGCGTGTCTTTTACTGTAATAAATTTTAAATATATAAACATTCATCATACCATATTAGATAAGATGAAAGGAGTGAGTGAAACTTGAGACAGAGAGATGCTGAATTAACCGAGTCGAATCCCATCAGTCTTTAAAAGTGGAGAACCTTTCCTGGCTGAGTTAGTGAAGCACGATAGCTAAAGAGAGACTGAGGGTTGTTAATTTTGAAGATGGGGTAATGAAACCATGAACCTGGGAATGCAGGTGGCCTTTAGGTGCTGGAAAAGGCAAACATATTTTCCCCCAGTGCCTCCTAAAAGGACAGCATTGCTGACACCTTGATTTTCAGCCTGATGGAAAGTCATGTGACATTTAAACTATTGGATTATAAGATGATACAATGTGGTCTTTAAGTTGCTAACTTTGTGACCTGTTATAATAGCAGTAGGAAACGAATTGAACATATAATTCAACTAAATTGAACAAGTTTCACAGGGAGATTCTTTGGGTTTGTGCATCTTATTCTAAGTAAATTATACCTTTAAAAAAAAAAGTGTGGTATTGGCACAAAGGTAGACAAAAAAAGGATCAGTGGACACAATGGAAAACCCAGAAACAGGTCCATGCCTATGTGATCTACTATATGGTAAAGGTACCTTTGGAATTCGGTAATGAAAAGATGGTCTTTTCAGTCTGTGGAACTGGATCGTAATTAGAAAGAAATTAACCTTGACTCTTAATTTGTACTGTATACAAAGAGTAATTGAAATGGATGTGGAAGTTATTTAAAACAATAGAGCTTGAAGAAAATGTTATGAATATTTTTGTAATGTTGAGGTAGACATCTAAGCAGGCACAAAATAAACTTTTTTTTCTTTTTAAAGACTAGGCATGTAGTTCAGTGTGAAGGCCCTAGGTTTAATCCCCAGAACTACCAAAAAAAAAAAAAAAAAAAAAAAAAAAAAAAAAAAAAAAAAAAAAAAAAAAAAAAAAAAAAAAAAAAAAAAAAAAAAAAAAAAAAAAAAAAAAAAAAAAAAAAAAAAAAAAAAAAAAAAAAAAAGCACAAAAAGTACTACCTTTAAAAAAAAAAAAAAGAATTGAAGCATTCTGTTTCATTAACATGAAGGACTTTTTTTACTGAAGGAAACCATTAGAAGGGTAAAAACAAATCACAGGCTGGGAAGAGGTATTTGCAGTGTATATAACTGACAAAGGCTTTCATATCTGGGGTTTGTAGATAACTTACACAAACAGTAAGAAAAAAGGCAACAACTCTATAAAAGTCTGATTCTCATGGGAAGAGAGCCAGACTTCTGCTACCAAGAATGAGGTAGTGGTCAAAGACAGACCCTGGAGTTAAACAGACCTATTTAAATCTTGCTGCATGTCTCCATGAAACATGTTCATTTCTTAGAATTCATTTCTTTATCCATAGTGAGGATAATAGCATTTACCCTATAGGGCCATTTTAAGGACTAAAGGAGACCATGTAAGGTGCTTAGCAGAATGCCCATTGAGTTACTATTATTACTATCATCATCATGTTCTTTGAGCTTTTGCCTACCCAGAGTGATCATCCTTAAAGCATTGACCTGTTTTTGTGTTCCTCTAATTATGTGCCTCTCTGTCTCTGATTGTGGGGAGACAGGCACAGAGATAGAAATAGCAACTCCCATGTTGCCTCTGTAGGAACTTTTACTCTGAATATTGTCAGGCTTGACCTTGTTGCTCTGCAAAACAAAATACAGTTTGGTTTTATAATTTGAATTATTTCTAATATTTTATTCTAGAAAACTGTTCTACCAGCCATGTTGAAAGCCTCAGTGCTGGAAATGCCATGCTGCAAACTCTAGGTGACCCACCGGTGTCCGTGCAAGAAGTGACTCCACAAGCCAGGGGGCCCCTTAGAAACCACAGCCCTGGCTACTCATCGGACACCCCCCAATCCATTGGAACAGTAGCACCGCAAAGGTGCTTTTTACAGATCAAAGGCATGACCTGCGCATCCTGTGTGTCTCACATAGAAAGAAATCTCCAGAAAGAAGCTGGTAAGAGATCTGCATCCCTGTTGAATTTGGGAATGCCATGTATAGACTGGGTGTTCTCCCTTCAGAACCACCCTTGACTGCATTCATCAGTAGCCATGGCAAATCTGGTAGCAAGTTCATGATAGAACAATATAGACATTTGTCTAATGTTTTTGTGCAATTGACATTGTTCTCTCTAAGGAGTATTTAGTTTGAGAGAAAGTATGTCTCTGTGTAAGTTAGCCATGGAAAATCCAATTTAAAGGTCATGTTATAATTTATGGCTTGACTTATTAGCTTTTCACAGTATTATTCAGTCCCGTCAACTCCTTTCTATAAAATGAATAAATAATATGCATTTTGTGTAGAAGTTCCAATTTGACATATTCTGTCCTGTTGTTCCTGTAACCAGTTTTGTGGAAATGGCAAAGTTTTGTCCTTCAAATTACATTTCCAATTCTTTCTCTTTGTCTTTCACTCTCACTTTTCCTCTTTTTTTGTGTGTGTGTGTGGTACTGGGGATTAAATTCAGGCCTAGCACACGTTAGGCAAGTGATCTACCACTGAGCTACCTCCCAGCCTCCAATACTGTCTCTTAAATCTGAAAGCATACAAGAAAATCCTACCCTTTTTTTTAGTACTGAGGATTGAACCCAGGGCCTCACAACATGCCAGGCAAGCACTCCCACTAATCTATATCCTCAGCCCTTTTTAAAATTTTATTTTGAGACAAGGTATTGCTAAGCTCCCTGGGGCAGATCTTGAACTTGTGATCCTCCTGCCTAACCCCAAGTAGCTGGGATTACAAGTTTACCTGGCCTGTCCTCCTTTTTTGGTTTGGAAGTAGTTTAACCATGACTTTACCTAATGTAGCAGAGATCATTTCCTTCTCTTAGCACCCCAGTGGCTCCATGTGTTTTTGTGCTCTGACTCCCTGTCCCTCAGCATCCACTCTAAATAAAGAAGACCTGTTTATCCAACCTCTCTTAGTATGCCTTAAGACTACCTGGATTCTAGAATGACTTCTTAAATTGAGGTGCTACAGGAGTTCCTTTGTTATCCATGGGCTGTCTGTTCATAAGATTAACTTATACTTTTATAATGCTTTTCTTTACCTATCTGAATCCCTCATTTTCATCCCTCACACTCTTTTTGTTGTTGTTGTTTGTTTGTTTTGTTTGTTTTTTTTTTTTTGTACCAGGGATCAAACTTGGGTCCTTGCGCTTGTGAGACAGGCGGCAGAACTGCTGAGCTAAATCCCCGGCCCTCATCCCTTACACTTTGTAAAGCACATCATTGCTTTCATTTACTTGAATGTCGTCCTTTCCCCATCTCCCTGTAAACTAACATGCTAGTGTTAGCAAGATAGTCTGGGATTTCTTTTTCATTGCTGAAAGTCACTAGAAACTGAAAAGTAGTAAGACCAGTTTTGAAAGTTTTTTCCTTGTGTGACACTGACTAGAGAAACAAAGCGTATCTTTTTTTCAACATTAGTTGGTAGCTGCAGACTACCTCCTTTGCTTTGATGTGCATGTGACCATGCAGTCTTTGAAAGCCTCTCAGTGTGGTCCATGGGCCACCTGTATCTGCATTGCTGGGAGCTGAGTAGACATATGGAATTTCAGACTCACTGAGTTAGAATCTCTGTTTTAACAAGGTCCTCAGATGACTCATGTACCCATTATTGTTTGACAAGGATATTTTTTAAAAAATAGTGGTACTCGCCAGGGATTTAGCTCAGCAGTTCGGTGGCCTGCCTTGCAAGCACAAGGACCCGAGTTCAATCCCTGGTACAAAAAAAAAATAGTGGTACTCAAACTTGACCATACATTAGAATCAACTAGAGAGCTTTTATAAAAGAGCAACACATCCACCCTAAGAGATTCTGACTGCTTGGTCTGGGCTAGGGGCCAGGCGCTGAGGTTGCCAGAGCTCTCCAAATGGTCATCGTATGCTACCAAGTTGGAGAAACACTGCTTTAGAGGCTTTAGGGGATACATTTTTCTTTGTTAGACTGTGTTGACTGTGTCATTGCAGATACCTTGCCCAGAGTGTCCTGACTGTAACCTGTTGTTTCCAGGTATTCTCTCCATCCTTGTTGCCTTGATGTCAGGAAAGGCAGAAGTCAAGTATAATCCAGAGGTCATCCAGCCACCTAAGATCGCTCAGCTTATCCAGAACCTGGGCTTTGAGGCAGCAATCATGGAGGACAATGTGGGCTCAGATGGCGATATTGAACTGGTTGTAAGTACAGTGGCAGCCTTACGGGGTGCAGGCTTCATATGGTTTGCAGATGAGTTTCTGACAGCAGTCACTCTTGTGACCAGTAAGTGTCTTCCATCTTGGACATACCCTGTTTGTCAGTAGGTTATTGTGTGTGTCTCTCCTACCCTAGCCAATAACAGTGACCTGTTCATTTTGTAAAGGAAAGTCTGTTCTATAGAAAAGAGGAGGCGATCTCAGCAAGGATGCTCAGGGTATAAGGAGGAAGAGGTGGTGAGGTGCAGGCGTATGAGAGGGAGAAGTGATACGGGTAATGGCTGCCCTGGGATAGCAGGTTAGGGAAGGTTGAATGTGCACACAGTCTTTCAAGTGTGAAGGGAAGCTCAACTGAATGCATTTATCTCTAGGCAGAGGAGATAAGTCTCTGGGGGTAGTGGGTAACATTCAAAGATAGAGGGTTGGGGTGCAGCTTAGTGGTAGAGCACTTGCCTAGTGGGTGCAAGGCTCTGGGTTCAATGTTCAGCCCTGCAAAAACAACACACAAAGATGCGCAGGGCTTCTTGTAGGCACATGGAGTTCTAAAAGATAATTAAGGACCAAAGTATCCCACAACACTAGGTCCAAGGGGAATGCCTTGGGTGGTGATTGCTCCCACAGTGTTTGCATTGGGAGTCCTTGTGTGTGTCCCCTGGCACAGCTGCATGTTGATAAATCATTGAAAACAACAGGTAATTCTGGTATTGACAAAATGTTCGCTTCAAAAATACTGCTATATAAAGCTCTTTTTATGAAAACGGAAACAAGAGAAACTATACAGGAGCTGAGTAGTGCTGTTTTACTTGCTTAAATGTTTATCCACTGCCACTGGAGCTAAGTAAATGTTTAAAGAAAGTGTCAAGGACACATGTTGCACATTGAGCTCCTGATAAGAGCAGTCTCTATGGAGCAAACCCTTGGCTCAGTGGGGCCTGCGTGTCGAGAGGCAGAGTTAATCCTCACTGGGCTACAGTTCACATCAGGCCTGTGAGGAGGAGGGTCTGCTGCCAGCCTCCAAGTCCACATAACGGTCATCCCATCCCACTCAGGCTACTATGTGGAAAATCTAAATCAAGAGTGTTATTGGAAAATGGTTTTAAAAACTATGATGGATCAAGAGTTATACTGGCATCTCATGACCCTGGACATCTTATATGAACATCTGTGATAATTAGTATTCTAGGAAGTACTGACCACTCATACCAGAAAAATGAGCTGTGTGATTTGTCTAGTCCATATCCCAAGAATGGCACATCACACTTCAAAGGTCTTTTTCTCTCATGTCAGGATGTAGCACATGGTGTGGCAGGAGTGCTGCAGGCTTTGGCTGGTTGTGAATTCTGGCCCTGTTGCTGCAGGGACATTTGCCAATCCGTGATAGACTGTGATGACCTCATGATGCTGGCAGCAGTGGCACGGAGCACACTCTGGAGCCAGCTATCTGGGTACAGGCTCCTGCTGTGGCCCTCACTGGCTGTGTGATTTGAAACAAGTTACTACACCTGTTAGCCGTGTGTTTTTGAGTCCTGCCTCATAGAGTAGGGAGAGTGGTACAGTACTAGGACAGGACTTGACTTGTTGCATGTGTTTCATAATTTTTATCATTACTGCAAAAATAGAAGGAGAGCTTAGGAGAACCATTGAAATATTTGTGAACTTGATAAGATTCTATTATTGCAGCCACCAGCCAGTAGATTAGTTCCTACTTGCCTGATAGTCCTCTCTTTTCCATATTGTTCTTAGGCCTCTTGCTAAGGTTAATGTATTCCAATTACTGACAAGCTCCCTCTCCTTCCCTAATTCCAGATGGTCTATCGTGTCTCTTACTGTTCTTTGTTTTGTTTTTTTTTTGTTGTTGTTGTTGTTTTGGTCCCAGGGATTGAATTCGGGACCTTGCACTTGTGAAGCAGGCAGCAGAGCCACGGAGCTAAACCCCGGCACCTCCTCTTACTATTCTTTCTGAGATCACTAATGCGACTTTCCAAGTGCAGTTCCAGTCACATCATCCCAATGTACATTACCTTGTGGTTTTGCATCATGTGTTGGCTTAGTGACTACATGTAGTTCAGGCTGGCCTTGAACTCTCAGCAGTCCTCCTGTCTCAGCCTCCCGAGTGCTGGGATTACAGGTGTATGCCACCATGCCTGACTCCCCCCAGGTGCTTTTGAAAGGCGCCTGTCAGTCCTGGTCCTGTGGCATTTTGTTCCCCTGTCTTGCAGATCACAGGGATGACCTGCGCTTCCTGTGTTCACAACATAGAGTCCAGGCTCACCAGAACCACTGGCATCACCTATGCCTCTGTGGCCCTTGCCACCAGCAAAGCCCATGTGAAATTTGATCCAGAAATTATTGGTCCACGGGATATTGTCAGAATTATTAAGGTAATTTATTTGTGAAAAATTATATCTGTTTTTTAATAAAACAGTGACAAATAATCATTGAAGAAAATAATAACATATAATTAAGCAGAAGGAAAAAGTAAAAAACGTCACCTAAAATCCACCAACTTTTATTATGGAATAAGGTCATTTTCAAATAATCCATGAAGGTAAGTAAATATCAGATCATCTGAATGAGCATATTAATGAATAGGTAAGAAAGAGATGAGGAGAAAAAGACATTATTATTATTATTATTAGTTTCAGATACTCCCTGAGAAGCATCAGTATTGACAGGATATCTGGTACATAGTGTTACATTGTGTGATTATAATTCTAAAACATTTATGTCCATACCAAGTATCTACAGACTTAGGGAATGTTGGCATTGGACAGAGTGATAACTACATTTTGCCCTCTGCTGGCCCTGCCCTATAGGAAAGTTTAATCTTTTTTGCTGTGGAAAATAAGCTAGAATGTCCATGCAGGCATTACCTCCTGCCCCCTTGCCCAGGTTGTGCACACACCTACCGTTTCCTCTTTTAATATCTGTGTCATATCAGATGAGAAGAGCGTGAACACCAGTGAGGACTGGAGTGCGTTAAAACAATCAACACTAAACAAGATTACTTTGTAACACTTCATGGTAAAGATAAATAAAGCTTAATGAGAATGACTATGAAATTGCTTGGGAAATGAAACATCTTACAGTAGGCTTGATGCCACGTTATCTTTAATTTTCTCTTCATTGTGCATGTGTATTTAAAGAGGGTTATTGTCTGTGTGGCCCAGTAGAGCTTTTTCATGTGGAAATGATACCTTAACGCCAGAGGAAGAAGATACAGCTCCTTCATCAAATGGGGAAAGATCGTCCGAGAAGTTAAGGGCTTTATTCCCTGGGATCCAACTCCCAGGTGCCAAATGGCTCTCAAACCCAGATCTCACAGTTCAAAGCCCAGCAGCCTTTCTATTTCTACTGTACCACTGTGTTGTTCTTAAAGAACAGCAGTGACGTGGTATAAGGCTAAGGAGTCACGATGATGCAGTAAACAGGTAGTCCTTAGGTAGGACCTTCAGATATGGCCTGCTTCCACTCAGCACCCTCTTTTTCCTTATTGAAGAATATTGGAATATTGCTTGGCCTCCATGTTTGTGTCTCTACTGTATCTTTTCCTAATGTAATTAGGTTAGTGTTAGTTGTAAAACCATTTGTTGTACATAGTCTTAGATACTCTTTTTTTTCCACCACAACTTTCAGTTTTGTCTAAAAATCCCAGCCCCAGAGTTTTGGGGTCCTTCTCTTTATCATAGTGACTGACATTTCCTGACTAATGTCAGAGACTAGTAATCAGATCAAGGCGGTTGCTGAAGTTGATGGGGTCATTTGTGAGAAAAGCCCAAGGTTGAGGCCCAGGCTCTGTGGGCCACAGGAGAAGCACGGCTCCCTGATACTGAAGGGGCTGAGAGTAGTTTTGGTGGGAGACATTTAGATCCAGAAGCCTAGAGACCTGTGTTCTGGCTCTAGCTATTCTGAATAGCACTGTGGCTGTAAGCAAAGTATTTAATCTCTCTAACTTTCCCTTTCCATGTGAATGGAAGGAAGCTACCAGACTGTGGAAGATGTGGGATTCCTCAACTCAAAAGTTTTGAATTTATAAATCAGTACTGATTGGCTTTGGGGCCTGGTGAAGTTAGCTTCCCAGAATCCACTGCTTTGCCAGCAGAAGGTCAGGAGTTACCATTTGAAGACACCATTTGTGTCTCCTTACATATGGTGCAGTCTCTCAACATAGACAGTACTGAACCTCTAAACAGGGTTTGTCAGCCAGTGTGAGAGAACCCAGTAGAGTCTCCAGAGGCATTTTGAAATTCACTGTCTAATTTCCAGAGCTGTAAAGTGCTCTGCACCAATGCATGTTTTAACAAATACCTTCCCCTTTGTTCCTCACCCCTCTCTTTTTGATAACAAGGAGATCGGCTTCCATGCTTCTCTGGACCAGAGAAGGCCCAACGCTCATCACTTGGACCACAAGATGGAAATAAAGCAGTATGTAGAACACTAAAACAAACCAAAGACCTGTGTGTCGGTCTGCCTTCCCCACCGAGTCTGTGGCTCGTGTTGTGTGAAGGCTTTTGTGCTTCTGAGTGTCTGCTATCCCTGGGCTCCCAGCTGGATTGGTTGCCTTTATCCTTGGAGCATTAACTCTTTGAAGTAGCACTGTCTGTAGAAGTTTTGCCATGATGGCAGCATTCCAGGTCTGCACTGCACTTCTTTGTATAAGCACTTGGAATGGCAGCTGGTGTAGCTGTGGCCTGAATTTTCAAGTTTCACTTAATTTTCATTAATTTAAACAGCCAGCTTTAATTGGATAGTGCTCAAATTGGGAGAGAAAAAGGGAGGGTCTTTTTTTTCTTAACAGTATTTTCAGACTTTATTTGCATAGGCTCTGGAGCTAGGATCTGAGGGCAGACATCATGGCTAAGTGGAAAGCAAATGGCCAAGGAAGCAGGAGACTGGGGTTCACTCATTGTTTTGGACAGAATCTTAGCTTTCAACAAATTTAGAGGCTACTGTTGTGTGGAGAGCATTGTGATACTGCTGGGGATGAACAGACGCCATTATCCCTGCTTTAGTGTGGCTCTGGTCTGGCAGGGAAAGAGTGAGGAGCCATGACAGTGGTGTAGGTGGGTTCTGGAAGGTTGAGGAAGCCTCCAAGTAGGGGACCCAGGATTTGAGACTTAGGCTCAATGCATTGGTAGTAGTGCGGGCATCTTCTGGGATGCCCTTGAGGATCCCGGGGGCACAGGGGGACTGGCAGGCCAGGGACCTGAAAAGTCAGGAAGCCTGACTGGGCAGCAGCCTGGACACATAATAAAGGCAGGACTGGCATTCAGTCATCAAGGTAAAAGTGAAGAGGTGGAAAGCTGGAGCACGGGGGCCTTCCATTATTAATGGTCAGAGAAGAAGAGGAAGAGCAAAGGAGAGGAACGAGGGAGGAGGCTCCACAACCATGGTTAGAGATTCACGTGTGTTGCAGTCCTTGTGAAACCGCAGGTGTGGTTTCCCCTGTGACCTCTGATTGCAGACACTGTGTTTGTCAAGACAGCCTCGCTATTCTTACTGACTCTATTTTAAATAATTGTTTAAAAATTGAATGTGTAATGGCTGGGCACAGTGCTGCATGCCTATAATCCAAGTACTCTGGCAAGCTGAAGAAGAAGGACCACAAATTCAAGCCCAGCCTGGGCGACTTAGTGACTTTACAAGACTGTCTCAATAAAAAATTAAAAAGGGCTGGAGCACAAAGAACCTGGGTTCAGTCCTGCTCCTGACAAAATTGAATGTGTAAGTAAGCTTATACTAGCAAAATACTGCCATCAGCCTTTTTGTTGTTTTTTCCTTTGAGGGTCTTTGTAAGAATGGATTTTGATGAAGGAGCTATAGGCAGCTGTAGACGGAGAATGTTAACCTCTTTGGGGTAGATTCTTAGCTCCTGGACCTCAGTTGTGAAACCTATAGATCGAAGGTCACATAGCAGCCAGCTAACGAAGAGGGCTGTGCTGCCACAATGTTTAGATCTTTAGATTGTCCCTGAAATTGCAGTAGTAGAGAGAGAGCTTTACTTTTTTAGCCTGTGGTGGTCTGTTCTAGACATGTGAGAAAGTCAGGTTTTAAACTGAGTCTTCAAGAGGGTACTGTGCTATGATCTAAGTGACCGTGTCTAACATGTCTGTGTGCTGCATTTGCTTTCAGGTGGAAGAAGTCTTTCCTGTGCAGCCTGGTCTTTGGCATCCCTGTCATGGGCTTAATGATCTATATGTTAATACCCAGCAGTGAGCCCCACGAGGCAATGGTCCTGGACCACAGTATCATCCCAGGACTGTCTATTCTGAACCTTATCTTCTTCATCTTGTGTACCTTCGTCCAGGTATATATTAGAAAGCTGGAGAAGCCCCTGCTCTCAGTGCCCATGTGTGACCCACAGATACTCTCCCCTCTTAGGCTGAACACAGCTTTTTAGCTTGGTTTTAGTGGTATTTCCCACCCCAGCTTCTCACATTGCTGCTTTCATTTCTGTCTTATGACCAAAATGACAGGGCCAGACCCTCTGCCTGTAGGCTGAGAAGGATCTAGTTTCACAGTTGACTACAGGTGATCAAAACGCCCTAGAGCAGCAGCTTCCTCTCTGCAAGACTGGTGAACCTGTGTGTCCCCAATTTGCTTACTGTTCAGCTTAATTTACCTGTTCTTAGAAGCAGCAGCTGGATGCCCTAGAGCTCACGCTTCACTTGAATGGTCCGTCTTGAAAAGGGCAAAGATGTGATCCTTATGAATGAACACGCTGTAATTCAGCAGGCAGACCTTGTGCAATGTCTGCTGTAATGGTGCCGTTAAGGGTCCAGCTGTTTTTTTGGTGGGAAATGTATTGTCTATGTTTATTTTGGAATGTAAAACTAAACTATCGAGTAAACTATTGGAATTGTGTATTAGTCAGCTTTTCCGTGGCAGGGACCAAACACCTGACAGCTACAACTTAAAGGAATTGAGGTTTACTTTACCTCATCATTTGAGAGGGTTCAGTCTATAGTCTGCTGGAACTAAAACAAAAACATCAGGGCAGATGGGCATGAAAGAGGGAAGCCCCTCACCCCATGACAGCCAAGGGGAGAGCAGGGGAAGAGCTCCAGAGGAAGGGCTCTGATATTGTCCTCAAGGTCATGCCCCCAGGACCTACTTCTTTCACCTCGGCCCCACCTCCTAATAGAGAAACCCTTCATTGGGTTAACCCATTGATAAGGTTAGCATCCTCACAATCCAACTCTCCAGAATCTCTGAGCCAGTCAAGTCAACAGTCAAGATTAACTAGCACAGGGCCAGGGATTTAGCTCAGTGGCGCCATACCTTCCTGTAAGCACAAGGTCCTGAGTTCAATCCCCAGTACTGCAAAAAAAGAAAAAGAAGATTAACTAGCACATAATGTTTGACTTTTTAGGAGCACACATTTATAACATTTTTCCCTATATTTTATTTGCAAATTGCTGTACACTTGTATAAACAATTCCAGTCATAGTGAAGATTTAGAAGCAAAAAGGAAAATATGCTTTCACTATTCATATCTACCTCTGGCTGAACTGTGCTCCCCAGGGATGGCTACAGTGTCATTAAGAGTTGGGCCCGTATCTTTCCAGATCTCATCTATGTGGAGAAAACACATTTGCAGTGTATGTATGTGAGTATACATGCTCACATAATATATACAGACTGTTTATTAGTGGAAATGTGACCATAGGAGATACTCTAATGTATACAGGTCTTTTTACTTAACCATGTATCACAGACTTCCTTTTTGCCAATGGTTTATGGATATAGCATCTTCTATTTATTTATTTTTTATTTGTTTGTTTTCTTTTTTTGAGACAGGGTCTCACTTTGTAGTGGCCTTGAACTCGAGGCAGTCCTCCTGCCTCAGTGTCCCAAGTGCTGGAATTATAGGTGTGCACCAACATGCCCGGTTTAGCATCTTCTATTTACAGATTGTCACTGTCCCCAATATAAATGAACCGTGATTTTTTACCATTCCCTTACTGAGGGACACTCACATTGTGTGCTCTGGGTTTTAAAGGTTACACGTGTGCTTGATCATCCAATTTTTGTGGGCCAGTAAGTCCTCTCTGAATTAGAAAAGGTAATCACTGAAGAAAAGGTAATGTCACACACGTGCGCAAACCTGGAGTATTTGCCATCCTGGGGGCCTCTGGCTCATGAAATCCTCTGCCCTGCTCATTGGCAGCCTTTGCTCTCCTTGTCTTTCAGTTCCTCGGTGGGTGGTACTTCTATATTCAGGCCTACAAGTCTCTGCGACACAGGTCAGCCAACATGGATGTGCTCATTGTTCTGGCCACAAGCATTGCCTACGTCTACTCCCTGGTCATCCTGGTCGTTGCAGTTGCTGAGAAGGCCGAGAAGAGTCCTGTGACATTCTTTGACACACCCCCCATGCTCTTCGTGTTTATTGCCCTGGGACGGTGGCTGGAACACGTGGCAAAAGTAACTATAGCTTCCAGTTAAGAAAAGAACAGACCTGAAATTTCCTGGAAAACAGACCTGAATTCATCTGAACACTGTGTTGAGAATTACTAATTACACACAGTATGGTGAAAGACTTAAGAAATCTGAAACCTCCATATAATTAGGTGCTACGGTCACTAATCTCCAAATTGGTTGCTATTTCTGAAATCCCAGCTAATCTGGTTAATTATTAAAACCCACATAGTCTCTTAGCGCCTGAGTATAGAGTGTGTTAGTGTAAGGTATTACTTCCACATGGGGTCATAGCATTTTTTAACACCCTGCCCTGAGTTCCTTCCTTGCATTGGGTCCTGTGAAAGAGAGGAACACAGGCCACAAAAGATAATGGGTTGGACCTGAAAGAGAACCATCATTTGGCAGGGTGTTTTCAGTCTGTAGTGGAGTTCCTAGAACTTACATTAGTGACCCAGGAGTTGTGTACCAGGTATAGTGGTGAAGTGTGGCCACATGAGCAACACGGGTCCCCACAGAGCCTTTGTCATATGGTATGGCTATGTCCAGGAGCAGCCCCCTTCGGTCTGGGTTGGGACAGTCAGGTTAACGTATCTCTCATTTTACACTCTGGTTATTCCCTAGAGCAAAACTTCAGAAGCTCTTGCCAAACTCATGTCTCTCCAAGCCACAGAAGCTACAGTTGTGACCCTTGGTGAGGACAACTTAATCCTCAGGTAGGTTGTGTTCACCAGTAGAGCTCGAGATAATTCATATCACCTGGGCAATAAGCAGCAAACACCCATCCTATAGTTACGTTTCACTAGACCTTGCAGGGTAGGCAAGGACACACTCTCAAGCCATTGTACAAACAAGGCTTTTAAATTAAGGAACAAGCAATAGTGTATGCATACAGATAGAGAATGAGCAGTGCAGATGGTTAGGAGTCCAGGAGTTAGAAGAGGAAGGCTAATGGCAGTCAAGGATGACTTCACAGAAAGCATGGACTATGACAGCCTTACATGCAAGATCTGAGGAGTCTGGCAGAGAGATTAGGGTTTCGACTTGTCAAAGAATAAAATAGAAGTAATAGTATCTTCCTCATAAGGTTGTCTGATAATGAAAATAATTATCATCATTGCTTGGAGAGATATATGATAGATACATATATGTATATATGAAATGTATTTTGTCAAACACTATTCTAACCTCGTTGTATTTAACCTGTGCATTAGTCTTGTAACTCCCCTCACCCAGGAAAAAAAACATTTATCGTGCAGGAACTGGTACTACTCTTATTTTATAGATGAGGAAACTGAGGTCAGCTAGGCTGAGTAACTGACCCAGGGTAATAATTAATATTAATTAAGTAGAGCAGTTATGATAGTACTCTGGCTGTTCCAGAGCTTATGTTCTTAACCCTTTCACATACCGACTCTTAAAGGATGTTTAATAATACGGAAAGTTTTACAAATTGCGGCTTTTCTATTTTCTTGATTAGCTTTCTTTTATATCCTGGGCTGTCGCAGTCACTTTTCTCGTCAATGATGCAAAATACCCAACACCCACAACTTAAAGGAGGAAGATTTATTTTAGCTTGCAGTTGGTAGAAGTTTTAGACCTTGCATATCTGGACAGCTCCAGGCAGAAGGGCATCCAGAAAACACTGAAAGGAGGAGCAAGCATTGCATGGAGTGCCATTCAGCTGCCTCCCTTCATCCTATTCAGTGAGCCTTCTGGGGCACCCCTCACCCTGGGGAAGGAGGGATGTCTCCCTCTGCCAGTTTTTCCTATCTCCAGTGTCTCCATCTTTGTTGACTGTCACATAGACTCCAGAGTCTCCCCTGTGAAAACAGACATGACTCCATACCCCACACCCACTGCTGCCAGTGCTGGTGCCCATAGCTATAATGCCACTCTCACTGCTGCCGCCCTGTGCTATGGGCCCTGCTGAGCTGGTGAAGTTCAGGTTTTCATGAGCCTTGGGATGAAGAAATCTGTGACAGAGAAGTGGGTGAGGCACCAGCTGACTACCCTGGGAGCATGGGATTTTGCCCTGGACCCTGCTTTTAAGTAATCATTGTAACTATTATCCTGATAGCTGGGATTTGGTTCCTAACTGCACCTGGTACTTTACACAGATTGTCTAATGTGATGACCTCCTGTCAGGGTCACTGTCACTGTCCACATTTTCATTAGCAAAAATCTAAAGCTCAGTGATGTGAAGTCACATGCCCAAAGTCCACAGAAGGTGGCAGAACTGGAATCGGGCCTTTGGAGGCACAGAGCCACTCTTGCCATCAAGCCATACTGCCTCCCACTCAGGCATCCTGTGTGATGAGCACTGGTGCTTCTGAGCATGCACGTGCGTGTGTGTGTGCACACACACACAGACACATGCACAGACACAGAGCAGCTTTGGTGGCTCTTCAGTCTCATGGACCTTGATTCCTTTTTTTTTTTCTCTTATAAAATTAATGGGATGAAAATTTCTGAAAGGTGAAAGTGTCAGAGGGGGCACAGAGCTGTCATACATGCATTTGTTTTGATGTACCTTGCCCCATCTGCCCTGCTGCCTCTGCTAACAACAGTATGAAGAGCTGCCAGTGGCACCCAGTGGCTGCTTAGTGATCTGAACATGAGCAGATTGGCACCTGTCAGCTGAGATGCCAAGGGAAATGGGCTACGCCTGCCATAACTCAGCTCTTTCCTAAAGAAGGCAATTCATTTTTTTGCCTGTGAACACGCTGTGGACCTGACTATTCCTGTCACAACAGGGCGGTACTGTGTTTTAATCAGGGAGCAGAGTCCATTCTGTCTTGCCAAAAATGGGCTGTGTGCTCAGATCAGGTCCATTTATGCTGCTTTGCACACTCAGAAGTCCTTCCTACATACTCTGCTGACCAGGATGCTCCAGGCTCCTGGGCACACCCCACTCTCCCAGGGTCACGGTCACTTCTTCTGTATCGCAGCAGTCCCCTGGGGAAGCTAACCATGCAGTAACATGAGCTATGGGCCCCCAACCCCCACTGTCTCCTTCAGGGCCCTCCTATCTCTAGCCTCTGCTTATGTGGACAGGTCCTTGGTACTTCCTGACGGCCATTGGAGTTTCTTGTATCAGCTGGACTCTTTAATGAGGCCATAGCCTCTCCTTCCTTCTGTCCCTCTGCTGGGGATGCCTGTCCTTTTTTCTTTATCCCAAGTTTAGGTGGTGGGACATTTTACATGCATGGCCTTTTGGCATATAATAATGTCTTCATTTTGCTGCTGCTTAGCCTCCTTTATGGGTCTTCTTCATTCTCCTCAGCCCCTTAACTACGTTATAGACTGTCACTGGGACATGTCTTCTCCCTTGTGTCTTCTGATACGAGCCACATGGAACTCATTTTCAGTTCCATCTCTAGAAACCAGGACCTACCTGTCTGGTGGAGTTTTCTCTCAGTGGCTTATCCTTCTACCACTGCGATGTTCCTGCTCCCTTCAGATGAATAATGGGTCCTCTTCCCTGCACAGCACCTGGGGCTGAGCCTGGGCTTCCTCTGCAACTCTTTTCCTTCCTCCATTTGCATATCGGCCTCTGACCTCTCAGTTCTTGCTCATCCATCTTCTCCCTCTTCTGCATGTGTGTTCAGGGCTGCTAGCTTGTTCAGGCTTCATTAATGGCTTCGTTAAAGAGTCCAGCTGATACAAGAATCAACCAATTCCGTCCCCTCACTGGCTATCTACTTCCAGCCTTGTCACCTTCAAAATATTTTTCCACATTAAAACCAATGGCCTTTTTGAAGCACAAATCTGATTGTATTACGCTAGTGGAAAGTTTTTCAGTGATTCCCTGTTGCCTTAGTGTAAAATCCCTGCTCTCCAACATAACAGTGAGACTGCCCTGTGTGCCTCTCATGTGCAGTTCCTATCTGTTGCTCAGTGTAAAGTGAGCAAGTACAGTTGTCCCCTGGTGGCCATGGGGATCCCATGGATAACCAAAACTTCCCGGCGCTTAAATCCCTCATATAAAATGGCTTAGTATTTGCATATAAGCTGCTTCCTCTTACATACTTTGAATCATTTCTCCATGACTTACAATACCTAATACAATGTAAATGCAGTGTGCAGAGTTTTATATTGTATTGCTTAGGGTATAGTGACAAGAAAAAAGTGTGTACATGTTCAGTACAGATGAAAATTTATTTGCCCTAAATGGTTTTGATGCAAGTTTGGTTGAAGCTGTGGATTCAGAGCTCACAGGTACCAGAGGGCTGGCTGTATATGCGACTTAGTCCAGTGGTTGATCCAGAACCTGACCTGGTAACAGGCCTGTGGGGAGGGGTGCTGTACAAGGGGCTGGGTGTGACCTGAGTGGCATCTGTTTCAGAGAGGAGCAAGTGCCCATGGAGCTCGTACAGCGGGGCGATATCATCAAGGTCGTTCCCGGGGGGAAGTTCCCAGTGGATGGGAAAGTCCTGGAAGGCAATACCATGGCTGATGAGTCCCTCATCACAGGTCAGGTGGCTTGTTTCATGTTCCCCCTGCCGGGTACCATGTGATGTGGAATGGGGCTGAGCAAGAGTTGTCTCTTCTCTACCTCTAGGAGAAGCCATGCCTGTCACTAAGAAACCTGGGAGCATGGTGATCGCCGGGTCCATAAACGCTCATGGCTCTGTGCTCATTAAAGCCACCCATGTGGGCAACAACACTACTTTGGCTCAGATTGTGAAGTTGGTGGAAGAGGCTCAGATGTCAAAGGTAATGAAAAAAATTAAAGCATGGTGTGACTTCGGCTCCCTCTTTTCAGAAATTATTTCAAGGGATCCATAGGAAAAACAGTTAATTATTGAGTAAAAGTACATTAGTAAATGTAATTAATGAGGAAGCTAGTGAAGCTAGTGTCCCAATCCTTATTCATGCTTGTGGTGTTTTATGGCTTCACAGTTTGTGACTTTCCATAATTTTGATGTTTTATTTTTGTAGGCACCCATTCAGCAACTGGCCGACCGGTTTAGTGGATATTTTGTCCCATTTATCATCATCATTTCAACTTTGACGTTGGTGGTTTGGATTGTAATCGGTTTTATTGATTTTGGTGTTGTTCAGAAATACTTTCCTGTAAGTTGAATGCATTGAGCAGTATGGTTGGAGTGTTTTAATTTACTGCCATGAATCCTCTTCTCTCTTGTCTTAGATTCAGTGGGCTTTAATTATCTATTATGTTTTGTTTCCTTCATTTATTGACAGCAGAATCTAAGTCAGGTTAGGACAATCAGTCTGTCGCTCTGCTTCTGCAGGTTTGTGAAAAATGCCTTTTGCTTCTTCCATGATAATTCCCTTAGACATTAATTTGGCTCTTTGATGCTTAACACCTTTGTAATATGCAGCACTGCCAATTTCTGAAATTATGAGGTCTACATCGTAGAAGATATCCCACTTCATAATCTTGATGGCATGAATACATTACTTAATAGATTTTAAGAGAAGTCTTTTTTGCTATCTATATCCACTGATACCATCTTCAGCCTCCTACTTTCCCAAGTCATAATACTTTCCAGTGTTTTTGAATGGGGAAATACTATACACCAATATACACTGAGCTTTGTAATAATTAAATACTTAGCATTATGGTTACATCAAGATTTCCCACTATCTTAGGAAATGTCATTTTGTCAAACTTAGAGAACAATATAGATACACAGTCCATCCCTCAAAGCACTACATCAGTGATTGTCACGGACAATATCTGAACACATTTTTGGTTTTCACAAATGGGGTGGATGCAACCTGCATGTAGTATGGAGAAGCCAGGATGCTGCTCAAAGTTCTGTAAGGCACAGGCCGGACCCCGAGATGATGATGATGGCCTTGGTGTGGTGCTGGAATTGAAAAACCTTGATTTACCTAAAATACTCATGGCCCAGAGAGAGCTGTTTGGGAATAGTGTTTTACCTATCTCATGCCTTTCCCAGTATAGTGCTTATCATCTTAGAGCCATAGAAAAAGAAACTACAATCATAGGATATTGTTCTTTTTAAAAAATTATAATTAAAGGTACATCAGATGTTCTTAGGGTGCAAATCAATGACTTAAGATGCCATTTTCTCCCTTAACTTTTCTATCTCAAATGGAAAGCAGCCAAGTTAACCACTTTCTGACATCTAAGGAGTCCTCGGTGTTTTTAAGAGTACGCGATGAATATATTTTAGAATTTGCCAGTGGCTATTCATGGCACCTAACTGCTTAAAATTTCTACTTTTGTGAGAGAAGAGCTCATTGGTTTGGGGCTGTGGAAAGACTCAGTTCTAAAGAAGTCAAGAGTATGTGACTTTCTACTGTTCCAGGCTTTCTGTCTTACTTTGGCTTCTTTTGTTTTTATCTGCAAAATCAGGGAGGATGCTGGCAAATGAGGTACTGCATGTTCCTTTAAGATATTGTCATCATTCTGCTGCACAAACTCATGTGTAGGAAAGGTTCATGTTAACTTCCAGAATTCCACCCAATAGTACCAAAATGCCAGGTGATACTAACAAGAATTACTCAGCTTTTTAAAAAAATTACATTTTTTTCTCAAAAAATCATATCTATCTAAATAAAAGTGTTTCTAGGAAAATTAGAATATACTTTATTTTTAAAAGAATATGCCTTATTTTAGAATCCAGCTTTTCAAAATCAAAGAATAAATTGTAGTTGGAAGGTAAAGAGGTTGTGGTCTGTGACCTCAATTTAGAAAATGTGCTTTTTACTGTAATTACATGAGCATAGTATTTCTTGGTTAGACTCCATAGCCACCAGCCATTTTGAAAAATATACCAAACTAATTCAAGATCTCAAAGTACAAATAACAATACCAGCTTGTGCCACCACATCTGCAAAATAGACCCATATTTTTGGGGGAGGGGGGGTTACAAAGAAAACAGCCATGAAAAGTATAGAAAATAAAATAAAGATGGCACAAAGCCCTTCCCTAGAAGAAATGGTTTTGGTGCTTTGGTAAACATCTTTCCAGTATTCTTTTTTTTTTGGTACCAGGGATCAAACTCAGGACCTTGTGCTTTCGAGGCAGGCAGTGGCACCACTGAGGTAACTCCCCGGCCTCTTTCCATTATTCTTGAAAGTCTGTGTACAGGTAGAGGCAGGGGATTTTGCACAAGTGAAATCACAACACTGCTCTTTTCGTAATTGCATTTTAAACTCTGCTGTACTAATTATCTTTCCATATCAAGAAATGTAGATATGCATCATTCCAGCAGCTGCTTAATATTCCATTATGCACTAATTAACTAATACCCTGTTGTTTCTGGGTTTTTACCATTATAGAAACAAAACAAAGCATGGTGATATATATCCCTGTATGTTTTCCAATTGTGTGATTATCGTCTTAGGATAGAATGTTTGGAGGTGCCTCATTAGTTTAAAAATTTACGTAATGACAGTGATAATAATAGAATAATGTAATAGTTGTCATTTCTTAGATACCTCTCCTCTGCCCAGTGTTGTACTGTGCATATGCTTGTGTTTATATGTATTTTGCCTCATTCAATCTGTAAAACAATGTGTGAGCCAGCTGAGTATTATCAACTCCATTTTGTATATGGGGAAACTGAGGCACCGAGAGATGAGGTTAGTATCAGAGCTAGGATGTGAATTATATGGTATGACTCCCAGATGTTTGCTCTGTTCCCTATCAGGGATTTTTATGACTTTGCTCCTGTCCTGTCCTGTCAGAGAGGAACCTGTAGGATAAAGTTGGGAATATGGGGGTGTGGGGCCATGAAGTGAATCCTGTGAGGCCGAGGCAGCCAGAATGCTGCTGTGTTTCCTGAACCCAGCTCACTGTGCTGTCTCAGGCCCCACCACCCTCACTGAGATGTCCTTGCAAGATGAGGATTCAGTGAGATTCTTCACTATGCTCTGTGTCTGCCTCTGTTTCCTCCTCAGAACCCCAGCAAGAACGTGTCGCAGACAGAGGTGATCATCCGGTTCGCCTTCCAGACATCCATCACTGTGTTGTGCATTGCCTGCCCCTGCTCCCTGGGGCTGGCCACGCCCACGGCAGTCATGGTGGGTACTGGAGTGGCCGCCCAGCATGGCATCCTCATCAAGGGAGGCAAGCCTCTGGAGATGGCGCACAAGGTGGGTGGCTCTGGAGATGGGACACAAGGAGACCCTCACCAACTCTCCCTTCCCCCTTTGGAGGCTTGGCTGACACTTTCCTAGTCCTAGTGAAAATGTATGTATTTACTCTTTTTAATTAAAAGAAAAGCCCAAGAGCAACCTAAAGGGAGAAATGTTAATAACATGAACAAGGAAACCAAGGCTGACTGGAAACAAGAATGGCAAACGGTCGCAATGGTTAACAGATGATTAAAAGCTCGTGAATGTTCACTGGTTCCATCTCAGTAATGACTATTTGCCTTGTTTGCTGTAGGTGCTTATTATTCTGAATTTACAGGTGAAGAAACTGCAACTGAAGAGGTTAGGGAGGCCATTCCAAGGCCGGCAGCTCTCACAAGGCAGAGACAAGGTAATCAGGCAGTAAGGCTCCAGGAGACAAAGCCAGCCCATATTTGTAGGCGTAGTGGCCGGGTCCTGTGACCCTAGGGGTAGAATAGTGAGCAACAGCATGCCTGAAGAGCCTTCCTTCTGCCTAACACACCAGCCCCTGACCTTTCACACTCCCGTTTGTTTATTCCTTGACTGTCAAGTGCTTACTGCGAGTGGGCTGTGTGCTCAGTTCTGGTGATGGTCACAGTACCCAGCTTCCAAGGAGCTGGCAGTGTAGTGAGACAGACAGGTGAACGGACAAGTGTGACGAGAGGGTGAGATGCTGTGAGGAAGCTGTAGTAGGACCTGTCTTACTTGGCAGTTTGGGCTGTGTGGCAGGTGGCCAGGCAAGGTGAATCTGAGACCTGCCAGCTCAGCTAGAATCAGCCCATGACCGAGGGTGGAGGGATAGCTCCAGCAGTGGGCACAGCAGATGGCAGCACCTGGGGAGGCAATACTGCTGTGTCGTAAGCTCTGAAAAACTGAACTTTCCCTCAGCATTGTGTCCCCAGCATTTAGGCCAGGGCCTGGCACATTGAAATTACTTGGAGGTTATTTGCTGAATAAATACACGATGAGAAACTTTAAAAAATCAGAGAGAGGCCGGGGATTTAGCTCAGTGGTTCGGTGGCCTGCCTTGCAAGCGCAAGGACCCGAGTTCAATCCCCGGTACCAAAGAAAATTAAAATTCAGAGAGAGAATATGAATTGTGTGGATGTGGAGGAGACTGTTGAGGAAGGGACCAGGCTACAGGGGCCTGGAAGATTTGGTAAAGGATTCACCCTAAGAACGAAGGCAACATGGTGGGGGAGGATGTACTCTGAATGACTAGGTCACATGCTAGCAAGCTCCATCTGGCTGCAAAGGGAAGGATGGGCTGATGGAGGCAGGGGCCTTTAGAGATCAGTTGATGGTGTTGAAGGAAGGCTACTGTACATCATAGGAGTCCAGAGCAGCAACAGTTGCTTTCTTTTTCTTTTTTTGGTACCAGGGATTGAACTCAGGTCCTTGTGCTTGCGAGGTAGTCAGCAGCACCACTGAGCTAAATCCCTGGCCCCAACAGTTGCTTTCTAATCAGGGAAGACAACCGTGCTTATGGGACATGGTCTGAACAAAGCAATGAGTTTTGGTGAGGTGAGCAGTCCAGGTACTAGAAATAGGTGAGCCTCAGAGGTACAGGTGCCTGAGAGCGACTGGTGAAGAATATCTGAGCCGGACACTTGAGGACCAGGGCAAAGCTGCCATTGACCACGTGAGGTGGGTTTGCAGCCAGCTCTGTGGTTACTTGTTATTATGGGTCCCTGCCTTTCTAGATCTCAGACGTGAGGACTGTATTCTAGGCAGGCTTTTGAATTGAGGCAAGGAGAGGAAAACAGTCATGGCTTGGTGGATAAGGGACAGCAGCGAGTGGGGGATAAGAGACAAGAAGACCCCTGGGCCTGACTCCTGACCTGAACTGAAAAAGTCTGTGAACTGTGTCATGTCCTGGCGATACCCTAGAGTTTCTGGCTGGACCTGCTTGGGTAAGCCATAGGATAGGTATTGATGGACGCATGGAGACCAATTTCTTTATAATAGCAGGTAAATCCCCAGGTTGACTACAGAGTGTCAGGGTAGGAAATCATGATGTATGTTTACCTACTTGAGGCAGGTAGGTGAAGCCCTTCCTCAAGATGATGTGGACTCTGGAAACCCCTCCTGTCTGGGTTGTATCACTGAGATGTGGTTGTTTTGGCAGATAAAGACTGTGATGTTTGACAAAACTGGAACCATTACCCACGGGGTTCCCAGGGTCATGCGAGTCCTGCTGCTTGTAGATGTGGCTACACTGCCCCTCAGAAAGGTTCTGGCTGTGGTGGGCACTGCAGAGGCCAGCAGTGAGCATCCCCTGGGCTTGGCAGTCACCAAATACTGTAAAGAGGTACGTAGACCTCATCATTGCTCTGCGACCCCTCCCTGGCCTGGTCCTCCCTTCTCCTCACATGCCCGCCTTCCCAGCTGTCAAGGGAGGCCTTCGCCTGTGGTGGGAGAGGCTCACAGTTGGCTTTGTCACAGTTCCTGGCCACCACAAAGGCAGTGCAGTGTCATGGCCACTTGCTGAGCATGTTTGGCACTGGACACGGGACAAAACCAGTGAGATGTGACCTGTGCCCTTGGGGAGCTTTGTTCTGAAGCTGGGGGGAGAAAGGGGGCCTAGAAATATAGGCCTTCGGCCTTCGTGAGGCTTAGTACCAGGGACACAGACATGAAATGAGAGTGGAGGACCTGGAGCTGAGCCAGCAGAGTGAGCCGAAGGCCCTGGGAAGCACTGCCCTCCTCTCCCCATATGAAAGGACCTCTTTCCTTTTCTGTTGAGCAGACTGTCAGGATGCTGTGCTGACAGATTGTAAACTGCCTGCACAAATCCTGTTATGTTAAATGTAGATGGGTGACGTGACACCTCTTCCTGGACAAGAACTCTTCAGAAACCTTGTTTCTTGTTTTGTCCTTTGCATGGGCGTGACCCTCTGCCATCTCACGTCTTCCTGGCAGGTTAGGAGAAAGGTCATGTACGCCCAGGTGGACTTCACTGCTGTTCCGCTCACTTCCTTCCCTGCCTCCTCACGATCCCTCTCTAGGGTCTGACACTTGCAGAGCTATCTTGATGGCCTCAAAATAGCATTGTCACCTGCCACATTATTCCATCACTTTTATGAAATTATTTGCAACCTAGAAATAGCTTTCTTTGAATTGTCTGGTATGAACTGAAGCATCTGCCTAGGGGTGGGTTAGACTGCTTAACTTTGTTCAGTTTAGTAACTGTTGCTGAATTAGCAGTAGATTTCCCAAGCTTTCCCTTCAATTCCACTTCCCTCCTTCCTCTCACTGCCCAGCCTGCCCTCTGTCCTGCCCCTCTCTGGCTTCTCATACCTCTCCTTCTCCCTGCCTTCCAAGGAACTTGGAACAGAGACCTTGGGATACTGCACGGACTTCCAGGCGGTGCCAGGCTGTGGAATTGGCTGCAAAGTCAGCAATGTGGAAGGCATCCTGGCCCAGAGTGAGCGCCCACTGAGTGGGCAGGCTGCTCCCCTGAAGGGGATTGGCAGCCCTCCAGGAAAAGGTATTCCTGACCTTTGTCCCCTCAGGTCAATCTGCAGTGGTGGGCCAAGCCACAGGGAGTTCTATGCCTGGCCCACCTGTGCGTGGCTTGTGGCTGGGCATTCCACATCTGCCACCCTCAGGAAAGCCCACAGTTTCTCTCTGGCATGATTTCACACACCTAAATGTTGATGTTTCTGGCAGACCAAAGTAATGTTGACTTAGATCTATAGAGAATCACTTCACTGATCTGTAATTTTGAGGTCCCCCGCCTTTTTCTGGTACTGGGGATTGAACTCAAGAACTTGTGCTTGTGAGTCAGGCAGCAGCAGCACTGAGCTAAATCCCTGGCCCCGAGTTTCCCCCTTTGTAGCCCAAATTGAAAATCTGCCTTTGTTCTCCCTGTTTCCTTCCGGTATGGGTAAACTTTCATGGGGTGTACAGTATTTACAGAGCTGACAGAAAGTCAGGGGAGCAGATGAGAACTGTCTGCTCGAGTCAAGAAGGGTTGCTCTTCAGAGTGGCAGCTGTCTTTCTGCGTTTAAGCACAGCTTGCCAGCTGTAACCTTAGGTGGGTGGAAAACACTGACAACCTCAAGAACTCGTGTTTAGTGTTTTTTTCTTCATTATGCTGGTAGCTAAATCTTGACTTAAGTGGTGTTGTTAGAAGCCACCCTCCCCTTCTAGCAATTTAAAACCCCGGAGTAACCATCAGAGGATTCAGACTGGTGGGTGCAGTGGCACTCCAGGGACACGCGCCATTAGAAGGTGACATGGGAGTCCCACTTGGCTTTTTTTTTTTGGAGGCATAGTTTTAAAATGTGTTTTAGAAACAGACTGACCTGGTTAATTGTTGATTCACCTTGGGTTATCAGTGAGCCTAGTCATAAGTGCTCTGGACTGGCAGAAACCTAACTGCTTCGGACCCGTGTAGAAGACGAGTCAACAGATACCTTAAAGGCAACAGTAATAAGGATATTACATGATGATGAATATGTCTACAGCATTTTTACACCTGTAGCATGTACTACTAGCACTCTATTTTCATTTATATCCACATTTTCTACACATTAGTTGTACTTTTTCCCTGGTCCTCTAAAGGTGTTGTTATAAGAGGCATCTATAGGTTTTAGTTTTTCCTAATCATTAAATGGCTGTTATGTTATGAATGTTAAAACCATTCCCAGCTCTTAGTCCATCATGAAGTTGGACTATTAGGAATAACTCCTTTCTTTGAATAGATACAGCGCCCCAGACTTTCTCTGTGCTGATTGGAAACCGTGAGTGGATGAGGCGCAACGGCTTAACCATCTCCAGTGACGTCAGTGATGCTATGATCGATCATGAAATGAAAGGACAGACAGCCATCCTGGTGGCGATTGACGGTATCTCCCTGCCTGAGCCTTCCTCCTCTCTCGTAGAAGGCCATTTCCTGGGCATGTCAGGCAAAAGAGGCCTTTTCTTTCTTCCTCCTTTCTTCCCTCCCTCCCTTCCTTGTTCTCCCTCCCTTCTCCTGAGGTCTTTACCTGTTCACTGGCTCTGTCTTGGCCAGGAGCCAGCTCTGGCTCTCCTGCAAGCCCCCTGTTGTTGGAGTGCAGTGTTCACTGTCATCTTTTCTCCTGCCCAGATTGGCAGTTTAAAGTGATCCTTCTCACTCATCACTACAGACAACACAGGAACCCTGTCCCTGAAAGGTCGCTGTAGGATATCTTTAGATAATGAGGTCCCTGCAGCTCCCTAGCATCTGACTCGCACAGATTGGTGCACACAGAGCTTCTTGTGACTCCGTGTGTCTTCACACCCAGGTTGTATCCTGGGCTGTCTGCCCCAGAGAGAGCAGAGATTTTTATTTGCTTCACGCCAGTTTCTGCTAAGAAGTCAAACTCTGCAAATAACTAATGATGGCACCACATTCTAGTACTCCAGTCAGATGTCTTCCTCTTTCATTCTGTCTTTTTCCCTTCTCTGAAATCCTTACAAACAAGTCAACTCAAGCCAAAATCAGCAGAAGTAGGGAGGCCCTGCCACGCACCCTTCACTCTCCTCAGAATCTTCCTGTATCTATAAAGATTTTCTCTCCTGGAGGCTGAGGCAGAAGGATCACGAGTTTGAGCTCAGCCTGGGCAGTTTAGTGACTTAGTCTTATCTCAAAATTTATATACAGAATTTTTTTAGGGAAATAAGGGAGTACTGATTTTCTAGTTTGGATGTCCATCATTTTAACATTTGCTGTATTTCTCATATTTTAATAGCAAACATGTAAAATATATATTGAGTTCTTATGATGCAGTAGGCACTTTGTAACATATGGAACTGGTAGAGAAATTTGGAAAATTTAGAGAGTTGTAAAGAATACAGTACATCAGTTAGAGTTCTACCCCTCACCTAGCCATCTTGAATTTTCAGTTTCCTTCCAGACTCCTAGATGCCTCTAGAACCCAAACCATAACACATTACATACTTCGGTGTTTCATTTTTGTGTGTAACATTATATGATGAGCACTGTTGCAGACCCTTGCGTCTTGCGCACTGCCCTGCACCTTTACTGACCTTGTGTGGTTTCCCCCAGGTGTGCTTTGTGGGATGATCGCCATCGCAGATGCTGTCAAGCCAGAGGCTGCCCTGGCGGTGCATACCCTGAAAAGCATGGGTGTGGATGTGGTTCTGATCACCGGGGACAACCGAAAGACAGCCAGAGCCATTGCCACCCAGGTATGGCTGGGGACCAGTGATAGCTTTCTCCTATAAAATTACAAATTGTGTTGAGCTCACAGAAGTGGACAAATTAAGCACTGGTGCTCATCTTTGCTTCTGTTCTTCTCCCCTGCTATGCAACCTTTGAAAAGCAGTTCCGTGTTCTTTGACCATTTCCCAAAAAGATTATGGCTTGAGGGCTAAATAAAAATGGTCTCACCTTTAGTTCAGGGAGTATTTTGGTAGCTCAGCCCACTTGTATGCCCTGGACTCTGGGCAGTTCTTCAGCAGCCCTTGGTTTGTGAGGACAGCACAGTGCTGGCCCCACACAGCAATAGCTCTGGTGTGGATTCCTGGAAGCTATACTCCTGCCCCGCTCCACTCACCCAGATGTGACTGTGAAAGGTAATTGCTTCTTGTGGGGCAGCAGCAATACCTCTGCTCTGCATGGCCTTCTTTCCTGCTGATGGATTTGCTGAGCATCTCCTTGCTTTTCCCAGTTAAAACGTGTTTGTCCATTCAAGAAGCACTTAGCAAGCACCATGAGGATGACAGATAGGCATAATGCCAGGCTCCGCAGCTACAGGGAGGAATAATTAGGGGCTCTGCTTTTGGAGGGTTTATGACCTTGCAGGAAGGGTGGACCCATGACCCAGTATAGGCTGGAATGCTCAAGCACCCAGAAGAAGTGCACAGGGGACCCTAGGAATGCCAAGGAGTATCCTACCCTTACCCTGGCAAGGCAGGAGACAGCTTCCCAGGGGAGGGGATACCAAGCCCAGAGCCAGACGAATGAAGAAATGGGAGGAAGTCTGAGGAAACTGAACCTTTCCCGGAGCGCGTCCAGCCTGAGCACCCCTGAGGGCTGCAAAGTGGTGCAGGGACCCGTAGGTGCCATTGCTGCTGGATGGCACAGTCTTGAGTGTGGCACCAGCTGCTGGCCAGGAGGTGGGGCAAGACCTTGGAGGACCAAGGAAGCAGACCCGGAGAGCTTAGTTCTCATCCTCAGGGTCCACTGGAGAAGTGAAGCAGGACAGTATCACAACTCAACGGTTGCTGTTCTGGATAGATGGCTGACATAACATTCGGAAAAGAGTTGGGTGGCCAAACCAGGAACAAGCAGGCCAACAGGGAGAGCACAGGGTGGGACCCTGTAACCTCCAGTCTGTGGAACTTGGTTGACTGAGATGATTGACTGAACCTAGAGGCAGAGAGAGGGGGACAAGAGTGACTCTTGGCTTCTGCGTGTTTGGTGTCTTTTGCCAACAAAAGGCAGGATTTCTTCTCCCTTTAGGTTGGTATCAACAAAGTGTTTGCAGAGGTGCTGCCTTCTCACAAGGTCGCCAAGGTCCAGGAGCTCCAGAATGAAGGGAAGAAAGTCGCTATGGTGGGCGATGGGGTGAATGACTCCCCAGCCTTGGCCCAGGCCGATGTGGGCATCGCCATCGGGACTGGCACAGATGTTGCCATTGAGGCGGCAGATGTGGTTCTCATCAGAGTGAGTTTGGCTACATCCAGGTGGCAATGAGGGCTGAGGGCAGTGGGCCGGGCCTCTTATGCATCATGCTCCTGTCCTATAGAACGACTTACTGGATGTGGTGGCCAGCATTCACCTCTCCAAAAGGACCGTCCGCAGGATCCGCGTCAACTTGGTGCTGGCACTGATTTACAACATGGTGGGGATACCCATCGCTGCAGGTAGGCTGGGAGAGCTCTCACCTGCTGTGCCACCTTTGGCTTCTCTGGCAGCCAGATAGGTCTCTCTCTGCCAGGTCCCTGCTGAGCTTGGTGAGTTGTACACCTCCTTAGCTGGCTGGCTAGGCACAGTAAGTGTCGAAGTGTTGGTTTTTGTTCCTGCTTTATATGTCACTGAAGGTAAATGAGAAACTGCTGAGAAACCCCAGAGCTTCATTCACTCTGGTCCTTTCTCCAAAGCTGGTGAAGGTGCATGGCCACTTATTTACTGTGGCCCTCTTTTTTGAACCACTTTTTTTTTTTCTCACTGAGTTTATTGGTACATCTTAGGTATACAGTACAGTTACATTCATCATTGGGATCTTGAACCACTTATTAAGACATGTGGTCTCAAGACTAACCTTTAAGGAGAGGTATGGGGAGCCTGCTGTTTGCTGGACACAATGATGGACCTTGAAAGTGAATAGTATCCAGGTTTTACTCTGACTCACACAGATGACCATGAAGAGAAATCGTTTTTCTGCTTTGTAACTCCTCTCTCTCCTTCTGTCCTTGAATCCTCTGAACCAAGCAGGGAGAAGTGCAAGTCAGCACTTCTGCATGGGCCGAGGGGACCTTGAGTTCTTAAATATGACCTTTCCACCTCAGTTTCCCTCTTGTGTCAAAGGGGTTAGTGGCAACTCCTATAACAGAGATTGTCAAGCCAGCCTTCGCCTCCAGGCCCCGGGAGTCAAGCAGGTGTTCTTCTTGCCCCAGAGCCAGCTCAAGAGCTTAATTCCTTCCTGTGGCTGAGCCTCTGCCATGGACAGTGACTATCCCTCGACTGGCTTAAGGTTCCTGTCTGCCTGGAGCCTGGCTCTTACTATTCTCTTACATGGTGTTAGGAAGCAGTGGAGGGCAGATGGTCTGTGTAGACGAGGCCTGTGTCCACGGACAGCTTTTATCCCCGTGGGACCGAGTCTCCAGGACAGTTGGTCCCTGCACCTCTGCTGCTTTCCCTTCTCCCTCTGTGCTTGCCTCCTCCCTGTCACTGTGGCTCCTGCTTCCTGAGTCAGGTAGTGTCACCTGTGCACAGTTGGCCAGGACAGGTAGAAGAGGCCCAGTTCCCTTCAATAGGACCCACCACTAGCTTGCTTTCTTTCTTTCTTTTTTTTTTTTTTTTTTTTTTTTTTTTTTTTTTTTTTTTTTTTTTGAGACAGGGTCTCACTATGTAGTTGGGACTGACCTGGAACTCACTGTGTAGCCCAGGCTGGTCTCGAACTCACAGCGATCCTCTTGCCTCAGCCTCCGGAGTGCTGGAATTACAGGCGTGCACCACCACGCCCGGCCACAGCCAGCTTTCTTGATGTCCTTACCTCAGTTGGGCGCAGTGTCCTCTGGGTGCCTGAGGAAGGAGCTGCTCAGGGTGGCTGCACATGGGCTCCCTGCTGTCCTCAGGACAACAGGTGAACGCATGCCCTCCCCTTGACAGGTGTCTTCATGCCCATTGGTATCGTGCTGCAGCCATGGATGGGCTCAGCGGCCATGGCGGCCTCCTCCGTGTCCGTGGTGCTCTCTTCTCTACAGCTCAAGTGGTGAGTTCTGGGCCAGGAGCACTTGTCCGAAAGTCTCCCAAGGTCCCTTTACCCCCTGCGCTTGCTTCCTGGGTGAGAACAGATCGATACCCTTGTCTCCATTCACCTGAGGCCATACTGCAGGGCAGCCCGCGGGGTTTGTGCTGTGATGTGTCAGCAGTGCACAGCTGCCATTTATGGGCTGTTCCCACTCTTGTGTCGAGTGGCCATTTGTGTAAATATTGTGTAGACATGGGATCCCTGAATGTTGTTATTTTGCCTTTTTTTAAAAGTTGTTCACTTATTTATTCATGCATTTGCTTAACAAAAGTAATGGCAGCCTACGTTCAAGGTATTTGTCTAGGAAATTTCTAAATCATGTAGACTTTATCTGAACATGGGAGTTCAATGTCCTCTTCCTTTCATACCTATGAGGTTTTAATACTGCCTGTGATTGAAAGGCTTGCTTGAGAGGCCTTCACCAGGCTTTAAAAAGGAAAGGGGAGCTTTATGTCCAAAGTGGCTCATATACTCTTGGATTTTTGCCTTCCAGCTACAGGAAGCCCGACCTGGAGAGGTACGAGGCACAGGCCCATGGCCGTATGAAGCCCCTGAGTGCATCCCAGGTCAGCGTGCATGTGGGCATGGATGACCGACGGTGGGACTCCCCCAGGGCCACACCGTGGGACCAGGTCAGCTATGTCAGCCAGGTGTCTCTGTCCTCCCTGACATCTGACAAGCTGTCTCGGCATAGTGCCACTGTGGATGATGGCGGAGACAAGTGGTCTCTGCTCCTGAATGACAGGGATGAGGAACAGTACATTTGAAAGCTCTAGGAGCACAGATCCAGGGCAGGCCGGGTAGGTCCTCCTGTGAGGACTCACATTGCTGGCTGTGGTTGGGCCAAGCACAGTACAAACAGCATGTGGAGGTGAAGCTTGCCCAAGGCCCCCTGCCCCCTGGATGTTTCCATTGTCCCTCCCTGGATCTCTGGGCTTTGTTGAGGTGCCATCAGAAGGGGCTGGGCAGAACAGCCCTTTGTGTGTCCTGCTGGTGTGGGGCAAAGGATCCTGGCCTTCCTGGGCTGTTAGCATGGAGCCTTTCTTGGAAGCAGAAGAGGAGAGGAAATCAGTGCTCCTCACAGACCTCTGCCTCTGTACCTGAGAGGACTTCTTGAGAAATAAACACACCCATTAGGACCAAACAGTCGGCTGGGCCTCTTCATGAACTCATGGTGAGGCTGTCTGACATCGTCTATGTGTCTCATGGGTCTGAGACCACCATTTACCTCACGTGCACCTGTTGCCTTCTACTGGCAGTCTCTTCCTTTTCTCCTCTTCTGTGTGCTTGGCCTCCTTCACACTGAGGCAGGACTGCTGCCCTTGGGCATCTACAATGCTCTGGCCCCTGCACTCAGACTGAGCCTGCCTCCTGCCTGGGAGCTAACCGTACCCCCCTTCACACCGAGGAGAAGTCTTTTTTGTTGCTGAACAGCTCCTGGGGAGTCCTGCTGCTGCTGATGCCCCACTAAAATGAGATTTCTGAGCCTGACCGGGAGTCCAAACCCAGCTTTCTTCAAGGCCCTGGGACTCGTGAGCCTGGACGCTCTGTGGGGGTCATGTGCCTAAGGGGCCTCCCTATTACCTCGCAGGGCCCAGTTCAGCCCTGGTGCCTGGAGTCCCCGGGCTCCCTGGCCTGTGTGCCTGGCAGAAATGCCCTGTGAGAGGACAGCAGTTCATGTGAGCCTTGTGTGTGCTGAGTGGTTAACCGAAGGGCAGCACAGCTCCCCAGGGGAATGTCTGCTTTTTTTTTTTTAATAGCTTATAAAAATACCACCAAGTTGATAATCTTTATTTCACAAAGATACACAATACAAGTAATACAAAAATCCATACATTCTATGGTTTCTAAACATTTACCCCATTAATAGTTTTTGTGAGAGGCTGTTGTCCTTCATGGTTCAGAGAAAGTTTAGATGACTGACGTTTGTTAGAGCCCCACTTTCTTCCTTTCTACCCAGCAAGTTAGTCTGTTCAGAAGTCTTGCCAGATGTTTTGTTCGCCTCTCCCTGTTACTGCTTAACCAACAGATTTCATTCTGTGGTTGCAGAGTAATCTGTTAAGTCTCATAATTCAGGGGCTATCCTACTGACCAGGGCCTATCCCATTTGGATGGGTCTATCCCCGTTTCTCTCAATTCAGATCCAACTGTGAGTTGCATGTTCTTTCGCTGCCAGTTTAAATCTTGAATATGTTTCCTTACCTTCCAAAGCTCTTTCTGCATATGTTCAGTCATATGAACTAGATTTTTATTACTTTGCAGGCATTCCATCCATGCTGTGAGGTTACTTCTAGATTCTCTATTCAGTCTGCTTCATGCTCTCAGTGAGTAATAGAATTTTTTACACATCCCTGCCATGCAGTGATGTCACTTTTCTGACCCGAGGCAGAGGCTGGAAGCTCATATCATTTCAAGGTGAGCAACTCAAATGGTTGTCAGTTTCAAAAGTAAAGTAATCTGGGGCTGTTAAGTAGCTCAAGGAATTCTTAGGAGGTTGGTATCTGTGAGCTTCCTCCTTTACCAGCGCCACAGCTGCTCCCCACACGCCTGTTGCTTCTGAGCCTTGATCAAAATGCAGCAGGGCACCCGCTACTACCTCTCTGGCCACCAACCCCATGCCTGCCTTTGCAGGGACTGTGGTCTCGCCTGTGTTTTCTGAGTCTGCAATGTCCACTTTTACCCTTCAGTAGCTCTTGTGGTTTTAGCGGGTCAGGGTGGGTTGAGTTACAGACTCTGAAGTCTGGTGATTGACGAGACCCCCTGGGAACAGGGTAACAGAATCAGATTACTCTTAAGATGAAACCTGGGCACACAAAATACTTTTATTTATTGAGTGTCACTTATTTGCCAGGGGCAGTGTTAGTACTCTTTGTCGGTTTTACTTCTAATCCCCCACAAAGTAGCAAGGTAGCTATTTCTGTCCATATTTTACAGGCAAGGAAACAGGCCAAGAGAGCCTACTTACTTCTCTTGCCTGTTATCACACAGCCAGTATACATGCCATCTCTGTTGGCTCTGAAGGCTTTTCTGTAATTCTGCTACTGCCTTATCACTTTGCTTAACTAGAAGAGCACGTTTTCCAGGTGATGTATTAGTTGTACCAACTTAGAATGCATGGGCTGGAATGTAGCTCAGTGGTGCTGTGCCTGCCTGGCAAGCACAAGGCCCCTGGTACTAGAAACAAAACAAAACAAAATAAAACTTAGAATGAAGTTGTAATGCATTCATGAGATCATTTCACGTTCACTTTGGATAATCAGTTTCAATTTTAACATATAGTATAGTTTTTTGCTAGGTTTTATATTCTTTCTTTCTTTTGTTACGGGGATCGAACTCGGGACCTTGCACTTGCAAGGCAGGCGGTGGCACCACTGAGCTACATCCCTGGCCCTGGGTTTTATGTTCTAAAAGCCAAGTTCAGGGTTTTGTTATGTTTCATTGTCTGCAGTCTTCCCTTTTCTGCCAGCCCTTTCCCACTATCCATCCCCATTCTGTCTTTCCTCTATTCTTCCTCAGGAAATATTTCTTATTTTGAAATTAGGCTAATGATTTTCTAAAGAATCTAATTGTGTTAAATTTTAAAACTTCTAGAACCATTAATGTCACATTCATATATAGAATTGAAAATACTTATATAATGGTACAGAAAGTAAACTTGTAGATGTTAGCGTACCAGGAGTTTGGAGGTCAGATAACAGTTCCTATTTAAAAAAACATTCCACACAGTATGAGAATAAAGTTTCATTTTGTTCATCTAAAAACCTGCCTGTGGCTGCCTCTGTCTGTGGGCAGCTTCTTGGAGCGAGTGCTGCCTGCCTTTGAGGAGCAGTTCTGCTGGTCTCTGGCTTGGCCCGGTGTCTCTGGAGGCACAAAGATGGGATTTTAACAGTGGGGGACATGAGATGGCCAGAACCTGTCAATGTGCCCTGCCCTGCATTGGTCTGAGCCTCTCTCCTGAAGGCCAGAGGTGGCCAGGTTCAGTGGCGCACGGGGACAGCTCTGAGAGGCAGCCCCACTGGGCCGACATGGGCTTTGATTGCCCTCATGTACATGTTTGCAGTGCACAGGAATCAGGAGGGATATGTTGGAGCTCCTTCGCTCTGAAGGACAAATGTGGGAGAGCAGTAGAAAAATGTGGACCAGTGGGGTCTGCTAGGAAGGCTCAGGGGGCCCTGAGTTACATCTGAGGAGAGGTAGTGGTGTAGTTTGTCATCCAAACCAAGATACATTTAAGAGTGGAGGGATGCACTGTTAATTATTACTTATTATGCCAAGACAGCTAAACTGAGCCTGTGGAGACAAATTGGGTCATGTCAGTTTCCTTAGGAAGAAAATGGAAATCTGGCGGAAATGGGTCATGCCTGTAATTCCAGTCCTTGGGAAGCTGAGGCAGATGGACATGAGATTGAGGCCATCGTGGATACCAAAGTATGTTTGAGACCAGTCTGAGCTGATAGTGACACCCTGTCCAAAAAGGGGCAAAGGGGGAGCAACACTGTGAAATCACCATCAACACAAACTTTTTTTAAAGGTAGTGAAAATTTACATTTATTTCAAAGACAAAATGAATGAGCTTTTTTTTTATTAGAAGATAACTCCAAAAGTGTATAATTGATAATATGAAATAGGAAGAAAGAGGCTAAAGGAGTAGAGGAAATGGGAAGGGTAGGGGAAAGGAAAGAAGAGAAAAGAAAAAAATATGAGAAAAGGAAAACGGGAAACAAATCTTTGTAAAGAGGGACAGGGGAATGGGGAAAAAATAAGAACCAAGACCTGTCATGTAAAGGTACAAGATCCCAATGATGAATGTAACTGGACTGTATACCTAAAAAACTTAATAAAAAAAAAAGAGAGAGAGAGAACTCCAAGACTTAATAATGCAAAAAATGTACTCAGTGGGCTGGGGATGTAGCTCGGCAGCACAGCACCTGCCTGGCAAGCATGAGGTCCTGAGTTCGATCCCTAGTATCAAAAAAAAAAAAAAATGTACTCAGTAAAATTAGAGAATTTCCCAAACCTTGAAAAAGATATAAACATCCAGGTACAGGAGCCATTTAGAATCCCAGAAAAGAACCTCCTCGATCAGACTTTAATTAAAACTTCAAGAGCACAGAACATTGGGCCAAAGGTGCAGGGTGGTGGCTGTGGCTGAAGGGCTTGGGGTGACGTGTGCCACTGTTCTGCACGGCTGCTGGGTTCTCCATCTGCTCCTGGCCATGGGAAGAGGTAGAGCCTTGAAGGAAGGAAATCTGGACCAAAGGAAAAACATTCAGAGCCATGCAAGCCTCCTGGAACCAGCTGCTAAACTGTCCAGGAACTGCAAGTGGTGGGGATGCTGAGCCGCCCACTGTGTCCGCCCAGGAGTGACCGGAGGCGTCCTCGTCTTCATTGTGTCCAGATATGTTCCATCCTTGACGGGAAAAGCCAGGCTGCAGAAATCGAAGGCGAGGTGTCCATCTCTGCACTCGTGGATGTGTACAGAGTTGTTCCCCGGAGTCGCTGCCAGTGAAGCGAGGCAGCCTGCTGATCTAGCGTGGAGTCTGCAGAACTTAGACGTAGCTCCTCCCCTGACTTCTATCTCTTCAAGTGGTTCTGAAAAAGTCTTCCATATGTTTTGACTTTGGTGTGCAACTTGTTCCGTAGCACATAGCAGGTATTGAATAATGAAACATTGTTTGCTTAGTTGCTAAATTCAGTTAGTTTTCTTTTATTATTTGTAATATACTTTAACTTAGGCACTCCAAATACTTATTTGCTATTAGGTTTTTAAACTTTGTTTTCTTTTAATTCATGTTATTAGCTTATGTGGTCCTCTTTGGGTGTTTTTCTTATTTTACTTTTATTAGTACACATTTGCCATACACAGTGATCACAGTCACCATAGGGAATTTGTACCTGGACATAGCATGTCTTCATTATTTATTTCCCCATTCCCCTCCCTTCACCTCCCCATTTACAAAAGCTTTGTTTCCATTTTTCCCCTTCCCTTGTGTCTTTTTAAAATCTCTTTCCCCTTCCTTCCCTCTGCTCCACTCTAGTTTGATCCTCTTCTCATTTGTACATGTTTTTCCTACTTCCCAATATCCCCTGTTGGTTTCTTACTTACCCTTTGATTTTCTCATACAAGAGAAGCAATGTGATATTTAAACTTGTGCATCTGACTTATTTCGTTTAAAATGATGGTCTTGAGATGTGTCCATTTGCCTATATAAATGACTTGGGCTTATCCCTCTTTATGGCAGAGTAGTACTCCATTGTATATAAATACCACATTTTCATCCATTCATCTGTTGATGGGCATATGATCATGTGGTTTTTACTCTGGGCTTTGTTAATATGGGGTATCACATTTATTGATTTGTGTATGTTGAACCATCCCTACTTCCCTGGGATGAATCCTACTTGGTCGTGGTTGTATTATCTTGATAATTTGCTGCATTCTGTCTGCCAGTATCTTATTGAGGAGTTTAGTGCCTATGTTTATTAAGAAGGGTTAGTTCTCTTTTTTGGTTGGATCCTTCTCTGATTTTAGTATCTGGGTAATACTTCCAGGGAATGACTTTGGGACTATTGCTTCCATTTCAACTTCATTAAAGAGTTTAAGGATTAGTGGGGTTAGATCCTCTTTTAAATTCTTATAGAGAATTCAGGAGTGAATCCATCAGGACCTGGGCTTTTCTTTGTTGGTAGGTTTTTATTATTATTATTACTTCTGTAACTTCGCTGACTATTACAGGATTGCTGAGAATTTTTATATCTTGATTCAGCTTTGGTAATTCATATATATATTTATAAATCTGTCCATTTCATCTACATTTTCCATCTTGTTGGAGTACAGGTTCTCAAAGTAGGCTCTGATGGTCTCCTAGATTCCTGCAAGATCCACTGTGATTAGCCCTTTTCATTCCAACTGTGTGGACTTGGGTCTTTTCTTTCCTTTTTTTGATAAGGTTGGCCTAGGGTTTGTCTATTTTATTTAATTTTCAAAGAACCCAACTTTTTGATTGATTGTTGTTTTTATTTATTGCCTTTTCTTAGTCTCAATTGTATGCTTTTGGTTTAACTTTTCTTCTTTTGCTAGAAGCTTGAGGTTCAACATTAGCTTATTTATTTGAGCTCAGTATGCTTTTATGATGTGGGAATTCACCGCTATAAATTTCCCTAATAGATCTGCTTTCATTGTATCCCATAAGTTCCAGTATGTCATATTGGCATTACCATTAATTGTAGAAATTAATGTCTTCTTTCATTTCATCTGTGACCCATTGGTTCAGGAAGGTATTATTTAATTTCCATGTGTTTATGTAGTTTTTATGGTTTATTTTGTGCCATTTCAGTTTCATTGTACTATGATCTGATAATATGCATGGGACAATTTTAGTTCCTTTGCATTTACCTAAGCATGTTCTGTGAGCTAGTATGTGGTCTATTTGGAGAAAGTCTCATGTGCTGTTGAGAAGAATGTATATTCTATTGTATTGGGTGGCACACTCTATAGATATCTACTAAATCCATTTATTTAAAGTGTTTTTTTTTTTTTTTTTTTTTTTTTTTTTTTTTTTTAAATTCTGGTGCCAGGGATGAAACTTAGGACCTCACGCTTGCCAAGTAGGCACTGTGCCACTGATCTACATCTCAGCCCTAATCTAAGTATTGTGATAGTGGGGCATTAAGGTCCTCCATTATAATTGTGCTTATCTGATTTTTCATATCTGTTAGCATTTGTTTTATATAGTTGAGTGTGCCAGTATTTGGTGCATATATATTTATGATTGTTATCTCTTCTTCTTGGATTGTTCCTTTAACAAATATGTAGTGACTTTTTTTGTCTCTTGTGATCAGTATTGGCTTGAAATCCACTTAGTATGCAAGTAGAATAGCTATCTCTGCTTTTTTCTGGGTTCCTCTTTCATAGAGTATTGTTTTCCATCCCTTGACATTTAGTCTATGAATTTATTTTGACTTAAATGTATTTCTTGTATGCAGTATATTATTAGATCTTCTTTCTTTTTTTTTTTTTTCAGCTTTAATTGAGTTTATTGGTACATTTTAGGGATACAGTACAGTTACATTCATTGTTGGGAATTTGTACCTCTACATGACAGGTCTTGGTTCTCATTTTTTCCCCTTGTCCCTGCCCTCCCTTCACCCCCTCTCCCCCTCCCCATCTACAGACACGTTATTTCCATCTTTTCATTATCTCACTTTTCTTTCTTTTCCCTTATTACCCTTCCCCTACACATCCCACCTTCCCTACACCTTTAGCTCCTTTCTTTCCATTTCTAAATGTCAGTAATCTTATTAGGATCTTCTGTATTATTGCAGATTATTCACACCAGAGAGACTATTCGGTATTTATACATGTGTGCCTTATTTATTTCACTTAGGAGTATATCTTCAATATATATCCATTTTCCTATGAATGAATCTATTTTCTCATTCTTTATGGCTGAGTAATATTCCATTTTATAGAAAAACCACATCTTCTTTATCCAGTTTCCAATGGATGGGCAAATGTAGATCTTGTTTCTTGATCCATGCTGCCAATCTGTTTCTTTTCATTGGTGAATTGAGACCATTCACATTCAGGGTTATAAATGATACTGATTTGTCCTTGTCATTATATTATTTTCCTATTGTTGTTCCTTTTCTTTCCCTTCTGTTTAATTGCTTGCCTTGTCTGGTGAATTCAATCTATTAGGATTGTTGGAATTGTTCTCTTCATTGTCTTTTTAAAGAATATCCTTTAGAACTTTTTGGAGTGCTAGTTTGGTGGTCATGAATTTATTCAGGTGTTCTTTATCATGAAAGTGTCTTATTTCTCCATCAATTTTGAAAGATAACTTTTCAGGGTATGTCAGTCTAGGTTGGAGGTTGTTTTCCTTTAGGGCTTGAAATACTTTGCTCCAAGCTCTTCTTGACTTAAGGGCTTGTGTTGAGGAGTCTGCTGTGATCATGATGGATTTTCCTTTATAGCTGATTTGTTTCTTTTCTCTAACAGCTTTTTATATTCTGTTCTTATGTTGAATTTCTGGCATCTTGACTATTGTATCCCTTGCTGTAGTTTGGTTTTTTTTTTTTTTTTTTCTGATCATGCCTAATTGGAGTTCTATATTCCTCACTGTCTATATGTTAAATTCTTTTTCCATGCTTGGAAAGTTCTCTGCTATTACTTCCAAGAACAGTTTTTTTTTATGCTCTTTGTGCTGTCCTCTGATTTTCTGTTGATTCCACTTATAATCTTATATTAGTCTTGCTTGAATTATCTAGCAGTTGTTGGATTGATTTTTTACTATTTTTAAGAAATCTTTCATTTGATGATCACCAACCACAGCCCTGTCTTCTATCTAGATCTGATATTCTATCATCGCATCGGATGACTCTGCTGTGTATGCATTGAATAGAATTTTTAATCTCCTGCATTTGAGTCTGTTTTATGGAATCCAGTTCTTTTTTATGTTGGGCGTTAATGGTTTCTGTGTCTTTTCTAAGCTCCTCTATTTTTAGAAATCTGTATCTACTCTAGATTCTTGAACCATTTCCTTCATTACGGTCATCGTTTCTAATTATCTGTGTGATTATTGCTGTTTTGATTTTGTCAAGAGATTTACTCATCTGTTTTGTTACTTCTACTGATACCATTTCAGAAAGGTCAGCTGGGTGCTTTTGATTTCTTTTACCTCATGGCCCCCTGGATTTGCCTTGGGTGAGTTCAGGATATTGGTTTTATCTTGCTTCCATGTTTTCTCATTTTCTATTTGTTTGTTTTCTGCATTGAGCATTGTAAATTGCTTATGGTAGGTAGCTCTATTAATAGTATCCAGACCTCTTTAGGAAATAACTACTTTTCAGGGATGTCTTCTAGGCATAGATGACTTTTGGCCTTTGAGTCTGTCAGGATCCTGTGGCCAGTATCCTGCATCTTCTGCTTATTAGGGATGCAAGGTTGCAGCCTGTTTGGCCTAGTATCCAGGTTTTTGGTACTGGGTTATAGCCTATTTATGACTCCTGGACCATCTAGCTATTGGCATACAAGAAAGATAAATTGATCACAACTGTGTCACCTTGGTTAAAGTAGCATAATCAGTAATAACATTAGCATCAGACACAGACTGGAAATTACAAACTGTGATAACAAATAATTTACCACCTTTAACCCTAGCTAGGTACAAGATTTTGTAGTTATATAACAAGATCTAAGACAAATCAGAAAATTATATATAGTAAATATCCACTCAGTAGAGCAATTTTACTTAAGGGGAGCAAACTTAAAAGGTAGAGAAGGAAAACATACAAAAATGAAAGAAGAGAAAGAGATTAGAAGCAAGGCTGAAAGACGAAGATTACCCAAGCCTCAAGAAGCTTGAAAGGAAGAAGACAGAAGGGAAAGAAAGAAGGAAAAAAAACAAGAACAAAACAAGAAAATTATTAAAAACGCTGTTCACACACAAAGTAACGGATGGGGGGGGACAAATGAACAAAACAAAACAAAAAATAACAAAAGCAAAGAAAAAAAAAAAGAAATTTCTCTGTGATTTCAAGCCTGTGGTTATCACCTGGGTCTAATTCAAGTTATGACTCTGCTCTCGCTAGAAGACAAGGGAGACATTCAGAGCCTAGATCCATGCTGGGTAATCCCAGCAAGCTGGCAGTAGGATTAGGGTGAGATGCCAGTTTTTAGACTTTCAAATCCACAGAAATTGAGGTTGAACCTGCCTTCTGTTTGTGGGAGTGGGGCCTGATATCTCCTGCCGTACTGACCACAGCTCCCTGACCATGGACATGTCCTGTGGTTGTCCCTCACCCAGTCACTAAGGCAGTTTAGCACTGGGGACCCTGAGATGAAGCCAACCTTCAGCTACTCTGAACCTCATGTTCAGTTGACTCCTCCCTAAAATGGCACCCAATCAGGCACTCTATGCAGTGGATATGGCAGACACTTGGACTGGAGCCACTGACTAGCTGTTGTGCATGGCATCCACTGCTCCATTCCAATGGTGCATTTCTCCCTGAAGGCATCTGATGTCACCCACTCTGTAGATTGAATCTTCTTTTCTTCTGTTATGAACTAGAAGCCAAGAAGAAAGTGGGGATTGCCCCTTCCTTTTTCTCTGTTTTGGTCTGTCTCCTCAGTTTCTCTGTAGACTCCAGTTTTCCCTTCAAATCCTTCCTGGGCCCCAGGGATCCACATCCCTTCTTTTCTTCCCCAAGTTATTATTTTCCAGTGTCTGGATTCTGAATCTTGGAGAGGCTGATCTGCACTGCTTACTACTCTGCCATCTTCCCAGAAATCTCAAGATTTATATATATTAAGATAGGAAAGGAAGAATGTTCTGTGGACTTAGAGTGGCTCACTGAGAGAAGCTCACAGTGGTCGCGAGGTTAAACAACACAAATTTTTAGAATTTTGTCCTAATTATAGGTGCTAGAGACATGCTGATGATGACATAATCCTTTACCAAATTTTCACAGTTCTCCCAGTATCCATGTCCTGACACCAGTTTTTCTCAGTTAAGTCATAAAGGTGATTATCTTGTGGCTCAGTATGGCCAAAGAGTTAGATGGCTAGGGCCAGGTGGGCTGTGTGCTGGTATATTACATGCTACCGAGCGGCCCTTGGACTCAGTGCCACCAGGTATGAGATTTTCACAATATTTGTATGTCCCACTATAGAAAGGCAGCAGTGGTACCACCTAAGGAAGGACTCACTTTTTGTTTGTTTTCTTTTTTGAGACAGTCTTGATACGTAATTCTGGCTGGACTTCAACTCACTGTGAGGCCCCAGACTGGTCTCAAACTCATGGTGATCCTTCTGCCTCAGCCTCCTGAGTGCTGGGATTATAGGTGAGTGTTAGCACACCCAGCTAGGAAGGACTCACTTTAAAGAAGACAGATGCAAAAAAAAAAAAAA